TAAGAAGAGGAGCCCTGGGTTCTGACAGAAACTGAACTCAATTCCCTGGAGCAAATACTGAGTGCACAAAATACAAGATCAGCTTTTCAAGGGAAGATAAAGCACCCTACAGCTAAAAATACTCATGCTGAACAGCCGAAAGAGGCAGAGAAAGCAGCAGCACAGGCAGGTGGGAGGGTTGGGGGGAATCTGTGCTGGGTGGATTTGGCATGGGGAGAAGACTGCTATTTCATTTGGATGGGAAAGCTAACAGCCTTGAATGTGACAGCAGTCCTGTTAGGCCAGATGTATTTACATGTTACAAGGCAGACAATGCATTCCAGAGGCCTGCTGCAAAGCTTGTTGAAGTTGGCATTTCCACTGACTTTTGGCAAGCCTTAAATATGTCCCTCCTCAAACAAGGCAGAGAAAGGAAGTGCTGTCATCCGTGTTTCATGAGGCATTGGGGCTTTCTCACAGTCATGCAGGGTGCTGTTGGACCCAGTACTTTTGTTTAGCCACCAAAGGAGCTGATCTACATACCTACACACTGTGGTGACTATGGCAAGTGCGCCAGTTGCTTATTACTTGTGTTTTCCTGGTCCCCTCCAAAATAGCTGGCATTTGCCACCCTGCTGACATTGGAGCGGATGTCTCATTAGCACAGCTAGAACTTGGGAGGCTGGAAGGGCAAGGAGGATGAGCTCAGGTGGGAAAAAGCAACAGCAACAGCAGGGGCAGGCAGATTCTGGTGAAGTAGAGATCCCTTTTTCTTGCCAGCTTCCCTAGTGAAGAGCCAGGGAGAAAATAATAGATATTTATAAGCAAATCTGTCTCTAAGGCAGCAGTTTCCAAAGTCTAATAATAGGGTTTGAACTTGTTTATTGCGTGATTCAGACAGCATTGCATAAAGCTGCTGGAAAGGTCCTGTCTGTCCCCAGAGCACATTCCCGATAAGTTGTGAGTTAGAGGAGGGCCTGAATCCAGCTGCAGTGGGTTCAAGCCAACAGGGTACCAGCAGGTTCTGTCTCTTCAGAGGTGCAGTTAGAGCCAGCAGAAGTGCTGGAGCAAACCAGGCTGTATAGAAGTATAAAAGCCTCCTCCCAGGGAAAGCCAGCCACCCACTCACTGTTTTGAAACAGCAAAGTATGAAGCCAAGGAGACCCATAATTGCACCTCTTGATTTGACCCTTTGGTTTCTTACACCTGCAGCAACACTGAGCAGAGTCTAGGAACCCATGGTGCAGTGCAAGCAAGGACTGCAACTGCCTCAAAGATTCTGCAGCGGTAGAAAGAGTACCAGGGATGTGGAAAGCTACCTGTCTCCAAAATCAAGGTCAAAACCCAAATCTGCAGACTGCCACTACTATGCCTTGATCACTGGGCTGGTCTCAAACTAGACCTGGTAGTATGGACAACTGCTTATGAATTCACCACAAAACATGCATCCAGTGGTCCTGTTGTTGTTTCTTGCTTACTCAGACACAATGTGTTGAAAGTAGAGCTTCCCCAGACAAGTAGGAGGGGAGGATTAAAAACAGGAAAGGTCAAAACAGCCTCCCTCTTAGTATGAGGAAGAAAACAGGGCTAGGCTCTACAGCACTGGGCAGCACCTGGAGAGCATGTCCTGAGGCAGAGCAATTGTAGTGATCACCTCTCTACTCTCCTAGACCCATAGTCTTTCCAACCAGCCCATTTCAACACAGGACAGAGGAAACTTCCCAGAGAATGCCTCTTTGCTCGCTCCAGGCAGGACAAGAGCTACAACTATGTCCTGGAGACTATTAGAAACCAGAGAAGGCCAGACCAGCCTTCTCAGTGGTGGGTGGAACAGTGAGAAGCTTGCCCTTTTCTAGAAAAAGCTGTCTGAAGTCTGTTTTGCCAATCATGTTTGGATACTTACCCAGTAATTCACCTCCCAAGCAGGATTCATGGAGTTACACAACCAGCGAGCGGCAGTATTGCAGGCTCCTGGCTCTCTAGTCTAGTCTCTAGTCAGGTACCCAATCACATGCACTCGTCTAGGGGAGACCAGGGAGTACATCTCTGCATCCAGCCTCAAACCCTGCCTCTTCACTGATCCCACAACAAAATGCACCTCTCCAGTCCTGGTTGCAGTTCTCTAGTCTCGCACAGCAATTACCCTCTGGATGAAGAGCTAGGCAGGAAGGCACTGATCAAGAGTCCTTCTAAGCTATGATGATCTCTCAGCCTGCACATCCAGTCTGACCTTTTTTTTGATGCTTAGCAGATGCAAAGGAGACAGATGGGGCCTCATTAGTACCTCTCCAGGCCAAGCAGATAGACACATGTGCAGTTATTCACAAGCACATGTGTTGAATCTTGGCCAGGCTGGGATGATGCTCAGGTTCTGATAGATGCTGGAGGAGGAATTCACAGCTCTTTCCTCCATCAGTGCCTGCAGAACTAGGAACTCAAAACCATGGAATTTTACCACCAGGGCCTCTCTCCACTGCTACTTTAAGCCCTTCTTACAGCAACAAAATAAACACACAACCTAGTAACTCCATACCTTTTGTTGGATGTCAAGTGGACTCAAATACTAAGGTAGTCCATGCTTCTGAGGTTAGTACAAGTAGCAAGGAAAAAGCTCTTACCAGTAAGGCTACAACCAAGAACTGTCTAAGCATTAAGCTCACTAGAAAAAAAGGGAAGGGAATAGGAGAGAGGAAACAACAGTTGTTACTTGACACTGACCACCACTGTCCCAGGTGCCAAACTTTGGCCCGGTCCCTTCAGTATCACTTGGAGGATGCAATGTCCGCTTTGGAAATAACATCTCCCCACCATACTTTACAGAAATCTCCTTTATGCCATGCAACATGGCAAATGAAAGTGTTTCCTCATTCCTATGGTGAGAAGAGTTGTCAAACAGCAGCTGCGCTTTGATATGACAGACCAGTTGCCAACATACCATAAGTCTGTCCTAGAACAACGAGCTCCCGTGCAGATCTGCCAGTCACACCTCAAAGCTGGCCAGTGGCATTCTCAGCTGAGACAGCCTGAAGCCTTCCCAGCCTACATGCAGCCCTCAACATTTTATGCACTGTTACTCATGTCCAAGGTATCTGCTCCACACACCTCAACTCTACCTCACACACACTCAGCTGCCAGCTTCTAAGAGAGTACATTATTTCAAATAATTTTCCGGCAGAAAGAAAACGAGAAACTTTGAACAGGAAAAAAACCCTGAGTCAAGGAAAGCTTAAGTATCACCTCCGTGAAGATTCAGTGTCCTTGTTTTCCTTTCAAAAAAGAGCAAATTCGCCTTGAACATCCTTGGAAACATGTTTGAGTCCGGAAGTGCCCTCTTCTGATGTGCCCTAGAGCCCAGGACCAGCTGACACATATGCCTGTCTTTGGAGCAGGTTGCAGCTAAGCCCCAGGAACAGACAGATAAAGCGGGAGCAAAACTGAAATGGACCTTAAATCCTGCTGCAGCAGACAAGCAGGAAAGAAAAGTTCTGTGGAAATCGTGATTTCCCTCAGCCTATTTCTGAGCTATCTGATCTCCCAGCTTCGTTCAAAGCACCTGATGTAGCCATACACATGACAGCAAGGTTGTGCCCATCTGTGGTTCTGTGAAGAAACCAGCTTCTGGCGGTATGTCAGGTCAGACACTAGCAGTGCTGCAGAAATCCATCCAGATACCTTCTTTTCCAGAACCAGCCAGAGTATTACAAAGAGCCCTTCCTCCAAAGACAGAACAGAGACAAAAGTGGATTGCCTACACAATCCTGATGTGCTACCCAACAGGTTTGGTCACAACACCTCTCTGCCCAAGGCAACTCCAGTCAGGGAATCCAGCTGAGGCAGATCAGCAATTTGTGGTCCAACTCTTTACCCACAAGCTCACAGACCACAAGTTTTTTTAAATAGAGATCATAAATTAGCTGTCCCAAACCTGCCTCTTCACAATGAGATCATACATTTGCTTTAATCAGGGTCAAAGCAAAAAGAAAAGGGAAAAAAGTCAGAAGCCCCTCCATCAAGCTTGCTACTAACAAAACTAGAAAAGCAAAATACAAAAAGGCTTTAAAAATGTTTTGCAGCTCCACCTTTTGGCGCAAACCTCTTTCCATCCACATTTGCATTTGAAAAGCAAGATCTTTCATCCAGCTAAACCTGGGGCCAGGTAGGCAATTCTTGCAGTCTCTTCCTCAGGCCCCAATGCATATACTCCTTGGACTTGTACTGCTCTCCCCACCAAGTCTGTTTATTTAGTAGTGATCTTCTCATTATTGATGTTTTTTCTGCTTAATCTCAGCACTGCACAGAGTGCAACAGTCCTGATTGATTGTAAATTATGAAAAGATGAGGGGAACTTTAGCATTTCCTATCACAAATCTCACCTATGGCTCAGTCTTTATGACAGAAACATCATTAGCAGCAACTTCACCTTCTCGTTCCCAGTGGTCACAGCTGGGATTGATACACTGCCTTTATGCTACATTCTGGCTGCCTGGTAGTACTATCCAGAACAACAATTCTGCATTAGCAAGGCCTAAAGGAAGAGAGAGGCCCTGGCTCCTTTACCTTCTGCAAGGCTGGTTCTGTGCCAAAGACACTAGATGTGAAACAGCTTGTAGGCAGACTTCATGTGTGACCTTAAATGAGTTGTTGGGTGGAGATTCTTGCAGCACTGAGACTCCCAACTTCCCCCTGAAGTCAGCAATAAAATGTGATCTACTCTTGTCATCAGAGTAACAACCCTCCCTTTCTCTCCTTCGTCTCTTTAGCATGCAGATTCTCCAGGTGGCAGGACTGACTCCACCTGTTTGCGTGGTAAGCAGCAAAATGGAGTCCCTGCCTTGATTTGAAACTCTGGAATGTAAAGCTGTCCACTACCTGTAGCTGCACCTGCATTTACTACCAGGAACCAAACATCTGCCACATTGCTCTGGAAGACACTGGTAAATCCTAATTATTGTCCAGTTATCAGTCTCCCACCACCACCCCAAAACAGGAATCAGACCAGAGAGGAAGGTGGAGCAGCCACAGTCATTTAAAACAAATATTTACTGTACTGTCTTTTCACATTAAACACAAGGTTAAGGGCTATGACAACATGGAACAATCATACAAACAGCACCAGAAAGAGGTGCAATTCGTTCATTAACTGAATTTGTTTCTTTGTTTGATTTAAGGTCAGGAATTAGCAAGGGGAGAGGCAACAAGATGGGCAAGAGTTTTGGTTTTCATTTACTGGGTCTGTAGAGCCCTGTTCAACACATGTAAACTTTTCTGAGGGTTAGAGCTGGCTGAAGGGAGGTAGGGGAACACTATGAACACAGACACAACAATGGTGGTTCAGACACTACAACATTGATCTGCAATGTGACTCTGACCTTCCAGACCAACTCACCTAAGACACCAGTTGCTTGTTTGAAAATCTTGAAGCTTCACATTTGACCTTATGAAAGGTGATACTTGCACTAGATGAAATCCATACCTGAAGAAAGCCAAGACATAGACACCACAGACGGCCCCCTAAGCCTTCAAAGTTTGAATTTAGAGTCTCAGCTTCAAAGTGCTCCTCCATACAGTGGGGATGCAATGGAAGAGAACTGCATTCTCCATGCTGTAATCATCCAGACAACAGAGCAGAGCACTGTTTGCTCTTACTGTGTTTTGCACTTTATAAGTTGTGCTTTCAATAAAGCACAATGTTGTTAAAAAAACTCCTCCTTAATGAAATGCAGGGGATTCAGAACACCTTTCCCTATGTTTCTAAAGTTGCTCTTATGATTCAGCCCATGCCTCGCTCCTCATTCAGTTCCTCCTGCTTTGTGCCAGCAGTATCATGTTAGATCACAGCCCCATTGGTACAGGCTGCCCTTCTCATCCTGTTCAGCTGTTAACCTGCAGACTGGCCAAGAGACCTACCTAGCACTGCATTCTGCACCTGGACCAACACATATATCCTCAGAGGCATCTGCTCTTCTGTTTGGTTCCCAACAGGTTCTAAACATACCAATCTGCTTCCTGATCCACCTGCTCTGGCACTCTGTCACTGCACACACAGACCAACCTAATCACAGTCACAGTGGGGCTTGGAGTTTGTGCAGCCTTTTTGCAAAAGCAGCTTCCTCTCTGCTCTATCTCATGCCATCCTATCCCCACAATGTTCCAAGAATGTCAGTGAAAACAACTCCCTTCATCTAGCTTGTGATACTGCATGTTTTAAAAATTGAGATATAGTAAATACAGCGCTGCTCTGAAGTATATTGGACCAATGGATGACATACCGTCTATTCTGGGAAACAGAACTGCAAATAAAATAATTAATCCTTCTTCTCCTCTCTGGATGTTTACAGAAATTTTAAGATGTAGTCTAGAATTCACAGGATGCTACAGGTGTCTTAAAAAAACCTATTATAAATAGCAAACAAACCCTTGGTTTCACAGATAACACCACTGACCCCATAAAAACAGATAATTGGCTCAACTCCCAAGTTTGGGTTTTTTTCTCCCAAAAGCACAGGTTTATCCTTGAAAGAGTCTTCTGGACAAAGCAACTTAGGGTGTTTCTCTGTGGTGCATGATACTTCATTCCTTGAGATTCAGTGCATTTCAGTTAATTGTCTCTCAGATGTTTTCCTCTTTTCCCCTTCCTTTTTCTTTAAAAGAAACACAGTATTTCCAGACGTTGTTACCTGAAAAAATGTCCTAGGAGAAGGAGAACACTATGTAAGTAGATGAGGACAGTGCAAGAGGGAGCACGGGAGAGAGAAAGAGGGAAGCTGAGCTGGATCTTCCCAGTGCCAGATTGCAGCCTGGAGCAGAACCTCACTGTCATTCCTTCTTATTTTCCATTTTTCTCTTTTCTGGTATAATAGATAATAACACAGGGAGCAGCAGGAATAATACATTCGTAGGTGGCTGCTGGATTTTCAAATGGTTTCTTACCAATATGTTCTGTGTAGGCAGAGCAGAGACCTGACACCGAGAACTGAAAGCAGATGATGCACCCTTTTTACAGCTGGAAGCTTGCAGAGCAAAATCACTTCATGAGAAGTCTTTATTAGTGAATCTTACAAGCACAATCTTTCAAAAAGGGAACTGAAGATGGCTTAGGCAGCTGTCCAAGAGTGTCAGCAGATGCTTTTGGTTTTGTTGCCCAGGTGTGTTGCTAGCCTCCCATTTTTTTCCTGGTTTGCTTCGACCTCCGGGATTTCAGAATAGTATAGTTTGCATACCATGTGTACTGTTCAGAGAGGAGAGGGACGTAGAATGCACGCAGCAGCTTTGAGGACCTGAAATCAGAAAGGAAAAACAAATCATCCTTAAAGCGCTCATTTGCCAGTATGTTCAAAACAATACAAATGAGGCTTTGCAAAAGATTTGAGCTGGTGAGTCAGTGGCATGAAGAATGCTAATGGTTCAGGCATATGAAGCCCAGTCCCGTTTTCTCCTCGTCAGTGGGACCAAACCTGGTTTATGCCAGCATCACCAGTTTAAGAGCAGCAGCCTGCCCAGCTCTTCAGCATGCTCACTATCCATTCCAGTAGGATTAAGAGGGAGAGAGGGCAGGAAGGTGTTGTAATTAATTGAAAGAAACTTAGATACCAGTTATCACTGTGCAAACAGCAGACAGTACAGCTCTGTGGGCCTTTGGTATCACACAGACAGGCAGGCCTCCCGTTCCTCAGGGCATGCTATCAAGGTAAAAGATAGCAAGGCTGCATTTCACTCCTGCCATCTCCTCTTCTATCCAGTCTTTCTGGCCGCCTATTCCTCCACACGTCTGAAGGGCAGACAGCAGCTTTGATGGGCACTGGCATTTCGAAGTTTTGCTCTTCTGCTGAGGGTACTGAATTAAAGAGGGATGGATTGCTCTAAAGCCTACATGGCAGTTTTCTGCAGGCTGCCAACATTTCCTCCGTGCCCTGCTAGTGCTAGGAGCTGGCATGTGACAGCAGTTTGCAACAATTGGACCAATGGAGTACTCAAGCATGGAGGGTTTAATGGCTGCATCAAATTAGGACCTTTTCTTTGGTTGCTAATTGCTGGAGCTGTGCTAGCTGAGTACATTTTAAATGCTTGCATTCTCTTATTGAGCAAACTAATAGTAAAATCCAGGTTTAAATGTGGACAAATATAATGTCCTTCAGCAGCAGCACTAAACATTATTAGAAGCTTCAAATACTTGAGCAACTTACTGAAATGAGGGCTGAGGCAGAGTCTTGTTTCCTCAGCACTGAAGCCTATCTCTTTGTCTGCTTAAGATCAACTTGTTAAACTGTCAACCCTTGACAGACGTTAAGTCTAACTCCATCCACATAAAGCTTGGAAATGAGTGCTGCTGCTGCTGCTGCTGCTAATTTGATTTGCAGCATGCTAGGTGGTCAGGGATAGTACAGATTATGCACCTACTTTCCGGTCACTGCAATTCACACAGCTTTGCTGCTAACACAGCCAAGGTTTCAGACATCCAATTCAAGTCACTTTTTCAGAAGAAAGACCAATTGTGTTTTGTTTGCTTATTTTAAGGCAGCACTGGATATCTTTCAAAGATGCAGTCTAAAAAACAATGGCAGGAACTGCCACTGTGAACTACATCTCCCCAGAGGCTCCCAGGGTTCTTAGACAGCCTTACTGTAATTCATCTGAGAACAAGCAGCTCCTGATCTCCTGCAACTTGGAGTAAAAGACTGACCAGGAAAAGACTGGTGATATCTACTTGCATTGGCATAGCACCACTCAGCAGCAGGGTCCTGTTACATGAAACGCCATACAAGCACAAAGCAAGGCATTTTTCAGTTGAAATGTTCCCTCTTTAGACAGACAAAGTGACAGACAAAGCAGTATTATTTCCACACTGGAGAGAGGAAACTGAGGCAGAAAGTATTGCGTACCCTCAGAGAGACTAAGGAAATCTGAATTCCTAAAATTTACAAGTCCCGATTCCGTGAGACTCTGCCTTCTTTCAACATCCAGCATCTCCTGAGCCTGCTTTTTGCCAAGCGCTCAGCTTGTGCTCTAGGATACAAAAATGCTGATTGCTTCAGTTCAAAGAACAAAAAGCTCAGTGATAATACGTAGGCCCTTTAAAAATTGTATACCACCCAGCAAAGTTCCTAAATAAAAGAATCACTGGAAATGGTTGCTCTTTGTGAATTCCTGAGGTGCTGGAATCCGGAGCATGTTCAAAGCAGAATCCCTTAGTAGCAAATAACCAGACAGAAGATGGTAATTTTGGTGTATTCTGAACACGGAACATTTTTTGCAGCTGTCATTTCCTTGAGCCTGGAAATTGGAGGTCAGCCCTCCCTCCAGTCACTAGAAGCAAGGCATCCTTTTGAAAACAAGTGCTTGATTTTCCTCCTCCATCTCTTGTGGCTAATGCACATCATGTCATTGCTGAACTTATTCTGGCATCTCCTTCTCTGAGCCTGACAACTCACCATTGCTACCATGACTGCTCTCTGGGAATAGTGTGCTTTCATTTCAATTCCCTTTAGCAAAGAAAAAGGAAGAAAACCAAGAAAAATCAACTGTGTTCAAGCTGCTTGGGATGCTGTTTAAAACAAGGAAAATGAAAAATAAGGTAGTGTACCAGCCTGCTGCTACAGTGTAAGAAAGCGACAGAAACTAGCACAATTCCCCAGAGCTCAGAGTGTGTGCTTGGGTTAAGATGAAGAAATTTGTTGAATTAGCCTTGTGCGGTTTAGCTCAGGGACAGGGAGGAAGGCAGCACCTTCTGCTGATGGCTGAGGTCCCGAGTATACAGTCTGTAGAACTGAAAATGCTTTCAGATGCTCAGTCCACATGTAGAGCTGACAGCACTCTGAAAACAGCACCCAGGCCGCATCCTCCCCTTGACCTGGATGCATCTACATAGTGACAGCCTGCCCAGGTCAGCACTGTGCAACACAGTGGGCACCCAGTAATGGTAGGTCTGACTGCTGGAGCAATAGAACTAAGTGCCTGTGTTCACCCTCAGTGGTGGTGCCTCTCACAGCTCTGCAGAAACACTACTGTCCCGTCTGTACTCCCTCTGCTTTGTACCTTCTGTGAGAAACACTCCCTGTACCCTGTACTTGTTGGTATTCTGAAATACACGCCCAATGCAGCTCACATGGTTATGCTCACCTGGTCTTTATAGCATATGTTCAGAATGTGCAGGATTCAGCTTTGCTTTCTAAAACAAAAGGATATTTCAGGAGCGGGTAGTAGCAAAAATCTCCCAAATAAGCCAGCTCAGTGTAACCATCCTGAGTTGGCAGACAGCCTCAAACAACAACTCTGAGCAATGAAAGCCTTCCACACGCTCTTGACTTTGCTAGCAACTTCAGCCCTTATTAGCAGCAGTTTACATGTCAGTGTTCACTGTTTCACAGTTTATATCAGAAGTGAAATGGGAGGAGAAAATACCCAAAATAATCAAAAAAGAAGAGGCAGGAATGACTGATGGAAAAAAATATCAAGGGTGGAAAATAACAAGAAATGCAAAGCAGAATATGGCTTTTCTTCCCACCAGTGGATGTCATACACAACGCCAAGGCACTCATGACAAATAACAATACAGTGAATTTGTGTATAAAGGCCACAGCTGATCTACATTCCTGTACTCCTCCCCCAAAACAAGAAGCATGTGCTCCAAGAATGGAGAGCTGTAAATCTCATTTAGTCAGAGGAGACCCCAAAAGTTCACCCTGCTAATCAAGGTGATATGTTACTCATACTGTCAAGTCCACAAGGAGTCCTTGGTTTCCACCAGGTGTTAGCTAGTCAGGCTGCTGGTGCCGTAGCAAAATGACTCTTCACTAACAGGACTTACAAAGGTGAAAAGGGAACAGTTTACACTGGTTCCAGTTACACAGTCTAAGGACACAGGTTAAAAAAAAGGCAACAGAAAATTAGAGGCATCTTAAAACAATAACATTTATGTGCTCAGAGAATCACATCTCAGATATAAAAACATGAAACCCTGAATATGGCATGGTAAATGGTAGCACCAACAAACCTGCTTCACATCTATAACATCAGCCTTTGTATTTGTTCAGCAGCAACTTTCTCACTGAAAAGAGACAGACTGGACACAAGCACAAGGCTGTTCTGTCTTCCTCTGGTAACTACACAGTAGCAAAGCCCTGGATGCCTGCTCACAGCAGCAGCCATGAGAGAACTGTGTCTGCTGATGCACCTACAGCTCAGGAGGTCATGACAGAGCTTTAAAATCAGACAGGGAACCTTTACCTCCTGTCACCTCGCTTCGTCAGGCTCAGCAACCTCAGACAACAGATGGCACATGGAAGGGGTTGGGATGACAGATGACAGTGAATATATACAATGTTCTATTTGCATTTGCTTCTAAATTTGTCCCCCAGAGACTGTGAGTGTGTGTAGCCTTAATCAGCACAGAGCTCTCAAGCAGCATGTTGGTAGCAAGATCAGGGCCACAATCACTCCAAGTTGTGTAGCCAAGGGTCTAGTGCAATGCTGCTGGAACACTGATGCCGCAAGGCTCTTTCAGTGGTGGGCTCCAGGCTGGAGCCAGGCAACAGGCAAATTCTGCCCAGCTCTTGCTGTGCTCCAGACATGGGAGGTATCCCACATTGCAGGGGAAGTCTGAATTCTTTTCCAGTTTTTGGTTTCTAGGGGAGCAACTGCTGCAGCACCCAGAACAGCTCTCAGTTGGGATAGAGATGCACAGTTACCAGTAGGCCCAGAAGAGCTGGAACCACAGTGCCATCTGGTGCTAAGTGTATTTCTGTCAGTTACCTAGTGGACTTGAGGAGAAAGAAACTCAACAGTCCTGTTCTACTAATGCCAGTGGACGCTCTTCTGGAATGGAAGCAAGGACTGGTCAGTGAAGATGTTCGAGCCCCCCCTCCCAAGCTCAAAGACTGACATGGAATGGATGCAGTTAGATACATGTAGGGGTGGGAGATTCTTCCTAACTGCATTTTGTAACCAGAACTTCTTACCCCAATGACAGCAGAATTCATGAGAAGGAAGAAGAGAAGGGAATGGCTGAAAGAAGAGGCAGGAGGAAGTTGAATCTCTGCCATGCAGGCAGGACTTAGTACCTTCTAGCTACAGGCATAACATAAGAAGCTCATGATCAAAGCTCTCTCAAAACTCATTAACGTTTGCACTCCTAGGTGTTAAATTTTGTACCAACCATGCACCTAAGAAGTAATTTAGCTGCTTGTAAAACAAAAGTAGGAAAAACATTTCATGTAACATGGAGGAAAGCACCATTAAAGGGAACGAGACAGAGTCTCTTATCAAACCAGGTTAATGATATGCTAGAACAAGGTGACCGAATCATTAATTTTGCAGTAAGAATATTTTTTTTTTATGGAAAACCCAAGCGTTTGGAGCAAGCAGACAGCTCAGCCTAAAGAGCTGGAAAATATGTGCTCCTCAGTGGGGAGCTGTAATGTATTTCCCCTTTTCTGTGCCAGATTCGGAGTGCTCAGCCAATATAGAATTAAATGGACCTTGGCAAAGCAGCTTCCTGAGGAGCATAATTAGCTGGTGGCTTGGAGTGCTCTCTAATTCAATTAGCAGCACCATTTATCAGAGCCAGCTGAGATTTACATTTGCACTTGCTGACGTCAATGTGAGACTAGCAGGGAGTCCCAGAAGCCTCCAGTTCAGCAGGAGTGAATTGAACTGCTGGGGTCATTTATTTTCAAAGAACAAGAGCTCGAGTTTGGTTTTGGGCGGGGAGGTGTCTGATGGGTTTTTTTCCCAAACATTCCTTGCTCTGCAGCCACTGAGCCGCAGACCCAAAATCTACACTGGCAGCTTCCCTCACAGCTCACTTCAAAGTGATATTTCTTCTGTTCCTCCTTCTCTTTTACAAAGAAATCTGCATTTTCACAGTGTTTTTACACTTACTTCATAGGTAGCAGGGGACATTTCCCAATCATTGTGTGGAAGCAGGTTCTGGATTTGAGAGATGCGTCGTTCTGCTGAGCTGGGGAGGGGAGGAAGGTACATGCTCAGAAATGTGAGCAGCCTGGATCATTAGAGGAGTTCTTGATTTATCTTCACTGACTCTACCCACAGACCTGTGTGTCTGACCCTGGGAAGAACTCTCCCCACAGGTCTACTAGCGCTGGGATCCTTCCAGCTTAGCAATTTCTAGCACCTAACATGCTGTTACAACTGTGTTACTGATGCTCTCCTGCAGCTAAATTTCCTAGAATGATCAATTTCTCAACTCTAAGAGAGACAGCGCTGCCTAGATTTGTTGTCTCAAACTAAAACAAAACCACAGAAGTGTTTTTGCTGGAATTTCCATACCTTCTCCACTATCAGGCCTGCCAACAACCTTCTGGACTATAGAAGTATTTGTTGCATCCCTGAAACAGTCTTGGGGCCTCACTGATGCCCTCAGAGAACCTTCCAGCTGAATGGAGTAGCAACTCTCAGTGTCCTCCCTCTGAGGCTCTGCAATGCCCACTCTAGCAGACTTGGTACTTTACAGACTGGGGTAAGGACAGAAGCAAGCAAGCAAGGGCTGACTAGCAGCAAGGGAGACTCCTGCAGCCACAGACAGAAAGACACACCAGTAGTACTTGCTTTGAAAATGAGGTTTTCCAGTCTCAACAAAAGGACAATAGCCAATGCCTGGGTCTGCATGGTGAGACAGACCCTCGCATCTCATTCAGTTGTTAGGCAGATCTGCAATTGCCACTAGCTAACTCATCTGTCAGCTGCCAATCTACTGCAAAACTTGTGTCCTTTCCACTTACGAGAATTGCTTGAGCCCCATTATTTCATGCAAGTTAAGCTCAGTCACACTCAGGGAAAAAAAACAAAGCAAACCACACTGTCTCATTTTAGAAATGCTATGACGCATTCAGAGCAAGGAGCTCAACAGACCGATTATGAACATTTGCCATGGGAAACCCTTATATGGATGTTGCAGCAAAATTCCAATACTCTGATGCAAAACAATGCAAAGGTATTTACCTGCCACTATTATTATGAAGTTGATGCTCCTCTTTCATTCATTGCCAACAATCACCTGGAGATAAGTGGGGAGCTAATAAATTTTTGGTCCAAATGGGAAACTAAAGCACAGGGAGGGTTTAAGAGACCTGGACAGACAGTCACAGGATCACCAAGTTCCAGCAGAGCCCCTTCATCACACATCCACGCTGCCTCTTCTCCAAGGGCCAAATTACAGAGAAATTAAAAGTACCTGACAAAAATTATGAAACAGGAAATCCAAAAAGAGCCTGTCTAAAATTTCTCTGGCTCGTGCTATAGTGGATGGGCAGGCAAAAGGGCCCTTGTCCTTATCTGTAGTATCCAGTTTTAAATGTGATACCTTTAAATGACACACTGACTAAAAACAGGGCAGATCAGACATTGCATGGCTTGTTCTTTCTGATCTTCACTGTATCAGGAGTTGTCTTGGGAAGCTGTGCCCACTGCTACGCATTTGCCCTGCTAGGCAGGCCATGGTTCCTGGCTTTCTGTACTCCTTCAGCGGGAACACAGAATCTGTCATACAAGCAGATTGGCATGATGGGGAAACACTGCTGGTTCTCGCATCCCTCAGCATCAGTGATACCCCCCAGGTCAGCACATGCCCTTCCAGACCTTTACCAGTACTGTGCACTGGAGCTGCCTCACCTGCCAACTGCTGAAGGTATACTGAAGGGACTGAGCCCAGCACTCCAAACTGTGGGAGCTCTGGAGGTACTAACAGCAGGGATGGAAATCAGACCTGCTGCTATGGCAACCCATCCTCCTCCACTGGTGAGACACCACACCTCTCCTCTGCTCCAGCTGTGAGGCATTGACAAGGAACAACATAAAGAACTTCCATGCATCACAAGAACAGGAGTGGAGGAGGCTGACCGGTGACACCAGCAAGGCTAAGGATCTGACTGTCTGATCTCTTCTTGGGACATGCTCTGCAAACCCTCTTCTATTCCAGTCTCCCACTAATGCAACAGCATCTTTTGTTACGAGGACACAGCAGCCAGAAAGATCCCCTTCCCTCCCCATCACCTTTAGATGATCTGTTCTAAGGTCTTGGTGATCGCTTAGCCAGGGAGTATGCTCCCCTTTCCCCTCCCCCAATATTCTGCCTTTATGTCTCATCATTACCAGGGTCAGTATGCTCTGAAGTTTCAGGACCTCCCTGTGCCCCCGAGCTTCTCATAACAAGCTACTGCTCCATGGTGAGATGCCACCTTTGGTACAACAAGCCACGCCATTGCTTGCAGTGGTAACAGCCACATGCACTCTCCCTTCACAAGCCAGACATGAAGGACCACACACAGAAATCATCATCCCTGTACTGAGTTACCGGACTTTGGCTGCAGGCTTGCCAAGATACTTAGCCAACAAGAAACATACAGCTTGGGAATCTAGCTGGAGTTTGGATGATCTAAATGCAATACACAGTCTCATATATGTATCAAATCAAAATGATTGCACAGGTTTTCACTGCCAAGCTTAGGAATAAGTTACCAGCCTCAGTCTGGCAGGAAGTACTTTGACAGCATTTTCCCTAGAAGCATAGAGCTGCAACACCACAACTACCTATGTATTCAGCCAAATTCCTGAGAAGCCAGCCAGATATTTATGTGTAGCAGGATGCAGCGGATCTGCATCTGTAAATAGGGAAATTCCTTAATCTTATCAATTTCCCCTAATAAGGGAAAGAAAAATGTCACAGAGACTCATACAGAAACAGCATTAAAGCAGTGAGGAAGGTGACAAGGACTCAGCTCAGTACTTAGCTATGCATCTGACTCTAGCTTAACCCCTTGCACTGATTCCAGTTAGCATTACAGGCTGCAGTAGGGTCAGGATTGAGATGGTATTAGATGTACATATACCTTACAGAAAAAATCCCCAGCCAAGTTAGGAATGAACAAAAAAGCCTGGGTGAAAGTGGAGGATCTGAAACACCTGTGCCCATCCTGTGGCAAGGCCTACAGCTGCAGACTCAACTCTCTCTCACGAAAGGAGCAGATACCCTGTGCTGGTGCTTCCTGACAGATACCAGTTTGTATTCACCAGGGCACAGTCTCTAAGGGAATACGAAATGGGTTCAGAAGAGAGAGCAGTGCTGTGTCTCTTGTGAGCTTTAATCAAAAGCTCAGAGGCTATGGGTGGGGGCTGAAAGTGCAATAATCCAAAAAGCCCCCCCGAGACAGACCAAATCCTTCTCTATCAAACATCAGTTTAGTATAGGAAAAATGAGCAAAAGTGGAAAGAAGCCATGAAGAATCCAAGACATTCTGGAGAAGTCTGTGAGATGTACAGCCATATCAGAATAACTCACTTGGATTTCATTGGGCAGGCTAGCATCTCTGCAGCAGACAGCTACTACCACTGAAAGCACTCCTAGCAAATTACATCGTCATGGTTAACCCAAGGTGTCTTAAAGACTCATTTGGACCTGACTCAGTGACTCTGATTGACTTCAAGGACTTTAGATCAGGTCCAAACAATCAAAACTTGGCTGTTCAGCAGAAGATATCACGATAAACCATCCTTAAAAACACAGGAATGTGTCTTCAAAGCAGAAATGCACATTCAGGGGCATATGCTCTGCACAAGGAGTCTTTTGCATAATGCTTACGCAGATGCTTCTATTGCCTCATTGGCCATCTCATTCCCCCTTCCTAAAGTCCTGCCCGAATGTAACAGCAGGTCTCTTGGAAAACATAGTTCATGAAAGACCTTGCCAAGAAAACTTGTTTGTGTCAGCAAGCTGGGAACATTAGAGCACTCCGGGGAGTCATTCTAACATTATCACTCCTTCTCACTGTTCAACTGCTTTTACCAGACCCCCTCCCTAGAGGGTCCTATTACTAGGAAGTAATAAGGTCTCACATAGAGAACAGAAGGGCACTGAACTCTGTGTTAGTTTTTTACAGAGATTTTTCCAGCCAGCCTCTCTGTCCTGTTATGACAGCTATATGACCAGAGCTTTAAAAGACTAAATAACCGTCCCCTTATAGCTGAGGGGTTTTGCAGGACTGTATTAACAAGATTCCCAGTTTGACAACCCTGATTCCAACTCCTGTTAGCCTGGAGGAGAGCAATTTCAATCTCTGCTTCTCACAGAAATACCTGTTCAGACACACAAGCAAGTTGTTCAGTGAGCAGCAGAACTAATGAAGAATGGATTCTCTGATGACTAATAAAGGTGGGACATTGATGACTTTTCACTCAATGAGACTGTCTCCTCTCTCTGTTTGCCAGCTTTCATAAAATTTTTAAGAGCTCGTGCTCTTTAAGACTGATTTACACCTGTCTTGAATTTGGGTGAAACAAGGCAGCAGATTCAAAAGTCTGTTGGGAAGAGATGACATACACTTAATTTCTTTAGAAAGCAAAACAAAAAAAAAACCATTACTTTAGCAAGAAGTACACAGGGAGGATTCTTTTTAAAAATAATCCTTCTCACCACCCTTCTCAGCTAGCTTCACTCTCTAAAGCAACCTAGGTAATAAATATCACAAGTATAAGTTTGACAAAGGTTCCATTGTAGCCAGCAAACTGCCTTTACTGGAAACTGGATTTCAAGCTGGCATTCACCAACGTATCTTTCCTCCCTGTACATAGGTACTTTTGCAAGTGGATAATTGAACAGAATTAGCTCACAGACCTGCCAGCCTTTCTCCCTCCCTCTCAAATGTGTAAAGCATACCTGGAAGCATCTAGGAATGGCTTGTAGGCAATGGTTACCCACTCTTCTTTGTTGGAGGAATACCTTGGCTCTCTTGGGGTTTCAGCTGCTGTATCCAAGTCCACTAGATAGTGGCATTTGGAAATATCAACCTGCAGAAAGAAAGATATTCTCGTGGTTTATTTCCTGTAGGCTTCTGGTTGTATGTGTTCATTTATACAGGCTATTACTTTTAAATGAGAAGGGGGTTAAATTTCTAGCAACGGGTGAAACGCTTCATGCAGGATACATGGTAAAATATTTTGAATGTTTTCAAGTAAAACCTTTATGGGGGAATACAAGCTACCACTACTGCTCTGGTAATAGAAGGGAAGTCCCAGGTCCTTCTCTGAGGAAGTACCACAAGCTCTCTTTCCGAGGAACTGTCAAGTCACAGAGGGAAATTTGAGGCAGCAGAACCATTTCTGTTGATGTTTTCCATGGTATTTGTCTAACCAGCTATTAAAGATTTCTTACAATGCTGACTCCACAGACTCCCCAGGCAAAAGACTTCCCTATATTGTTAGAAAGGTTTCCTGATGTCTACACTGAATCTTTTTCTGTCTCGGTTTATGTCTGTTCTCACTTGTTTTACATCATGAGCAAGGAAAACACCATTTTATTTATGATAGTTTTTACATACTACAGTTCTGTTATCTGAAGATGGCTCTTGTCCTCTCTACGACCCTATTTTACTCTATAGTCATGTTTTCTACCCCTCTGATCATTCTTGTGGGTCTTCAGTTAGTCACATCTATCCTGAATGCAGTGCTCAAATCAGACTGTAACACTTTAATGAAGGACTTTCTAACGCAGAGCAGCAACGCAACAGTTGCAGAATATGCTCTTGCGCATGTAACCCTGTATATGGCTCATATAAGTTATATTCATCCAGTGATTCACTGCACCCCTGCATCCTTTCCTGAAGGGCTTGTGCCTAACTGGCTGGTCTTCAACCAACGTGTATTCACCTGATTATTTCTGTCTAGTGCCCTGTCCATACTAAATGTCAACTTTTTTTTTTTTTTCGGATCCTTTCTTCAATTTGTCAAAATCACTTTGAATTCTAATTACATATTTTCTCCCACATCATTTGTTATTTAATAAGCCTACTGCCTGTCCCTCCTTCCCCCTTGCAAATCATTCATAAAAACTCTGAAAAGACTTAACTTTGCAGTTTCCAGTACATCCTGTCATTTTTGGTGACCTATGGATAACTACTCCTATCATTGCTGTAACAGCAATTCATGAATTCTGCTCCAAAGTGCATGCACGAAAGTGAGAAGGGCACCTTTTGTCAAGACACATCCACAGAAATATTTCTGTAGACCAGAGGAATACTAAACATGGATGCCAGGAAGTATACCAACACAGCATTCATTTGTCATGATCGTGAACTGTTTGTAATGTATAAACATTCACAGACACTGTCAATTAACACCTTGTATAGGTGCTGTCATGGCCCTAAAGAATGTACAGTAAAGTTCACACAATAAAGGCTTGACCCACTGCCCAAGAAAGACAACAAAGTACATGCTAGATCAGGCTGAGGGGAGCCAGTGCCTCACTCTCCCCTGTTTATCCTCCTGTAAGAAACAGTGTATCCGCCAACTTTCTGCTAAAGAAGTCCCCTCACTCATGTAATTTTTCATGCCTTCTTTGGAAGTGCTTTTACAATCAGTTGCACACAACTCCCGGATATTTGGCTCGGAACACACAGAGACCAATATGGGTTACTCACAAGGATCATACAAGCTCCACAACCTGTTAACTCTACAAGCCTCATGGTACTGGTCTTGTCATCTCATGGTAGGATTTAAGCAGAATCATGGTAAACCATGAGCAGTTCCAGTAGACTAAGCTTGTCTGGCACAAATTATGGTGGGGTTTGTGCATGAACAACCTGTCCTGTAGCACTGATGAACATCACTACCTCACCTGCAGCAGATGGACATCACATTGCACCTCTCAGAACATGTACACTTAGTATCAGCATAGTCATGCCTTTATCAGCTGCCTATAACACAAGTAGCTGCTCTGCCTTGACCAAAATTTTTGGCAACACCCTGCCAAATTATGAAAATGTATTTGAGGAAGCATCACAGAAATGAATTATTTGTGTGACCTCCCAGTTAAATGAGCTGCAGCCAATGTCCTCAGGAGACCTGCATCATGCAACCTTCTCCTTCCTGCTGGGGAGAGTGCTCTTGGATATAAACAGGCTGTAGTGTTCATTTATATGAATATCCTGCGTCCTTTCTGGCTAACAGCCCCCATCCTCTTCCTGTCCTCTTCTCCCCACTCCTCACAGGTACGCCTACAGATGTACACTTGAGCTGCTGAGGAATAAAAACTCTGCCAAGACAAATGTGAACTGTCATCTACAAAGAAGACTTGAGTTCCTACCAGGACAAATTTCCTTTTAATAATAACCATCAGATATGGGATAAGTTTCATACAAGGTAGCCCAACAACAGGCTACAGTGTGTAGAAACCTCTACATTGAGCATAAGAGATCCAGAGGAGAGGACAGGTTACAAATGAGGGCTGATGTCTTCCTGAAGAAGATCTAATTGCCTTTAAGTGATCTAAGTCACGTTTTCAAGTGTGAAATAATCCCACGCTTAAAGCCATGTTTAAATTGTACCGGAGTAGCTATATCATTACAATACACCAGAAAAATGAGCCCCTCACAGATGCAGTGTACAGCAGCAAGGCTAAGATTTTTCTGGCATAATGCTTTTCAGCCACTGGAGCAAAGCAAGTTCTACCAGTTAGTGCCTCTGTACTTGGGTATTTTGCTGACACTAGGTTTTGTCAGCCAAGGGTCACACTTTCTCACATCTGGCACTGGCTGATTTTTCTCGCACAGCTTGAAGTAGTTACCCGAGAGACACTAGAATTCAACAGGACTGATGCTTGCAACTATCTCATGCTCTTGTGCCACTTCCAGTCAGATTAATCTGAAAGTTCTATGTCCTGTATTTCTTTCTGTCAACTGAGAATGCACAAAATTCTTGGATGCTTTTTCTGGCTCTGTTGGTCCACAAGCTGTTCTTGTGGCACTCCAGTATTCCCAACTGCTGAACGGGATGAACAACTCCCACTTCTGCCTTTGATACGTTATTAAGCATTGTACATTAAAATGTATTACATTATTTTGAAATTTCTGAGAAAAGACACCAGTGAAGTACAGCACAAATAAAAAGCCCAGACAGCTCCTCCCAAACCCCCTGCTGCTGCCAAGCCTGTGTTTGAACTCCCAACTGCATGAACAGGAGGATAGGTGCATGCTTTTAACATGCTTCCTTCTCAGTCTCAGTTATAAACATCGTGGTTTGAGCCTGGTCAGCAGCCAAACACCCCGCAGCCGCTCACCCACTCCCCCCCAACCTGGGAATGGAGGAGGGAATCAGAGGGGTAAAGGGAGACTTGTGGGTTGAGATAGAAACAGTTTAATAATGGTACTAAAATGAAAACAATTACATTAATAGAGAATATAAACGGGCAATGCACAATGCAATTGCTCAGCACCTGCTGACCAATACCCAGCCTGCTCCTGGCTAGCGATCCCAAAATACCAAGATCCTGCAATCGCAATCCCAGAAGCAAGAGAGAGCCCCTTCCGGATCACCCCACCTCTATATAGTGAGCATAACGTTACATGATATGGAATATTTCATTGGCCAATTTGGGTCTGGTGCTCTGGCTGTGGTCCCTCCCTGCTTCTTGTGCACCTGCGCATAGGCAGGACATGGGAAGTTGGAGAGTCCTTGAAATCTCAGCAGAAGCTGAAAACATCAGTGTGCTATCAGCATTCTTATTCCAAACCCAATGCTGAATCCAAGCACTATTCTACTTAACAAAAAGAAACATTAACTCTATTCCAGCCCAAAGCAGGACAATAAACAAGGACACCTTCCACTGAGCAATCCACTGCACTTTCAGGAAATAAATGAATGAGGATGCTAAGTGACCTGTAGGCTAAGAAAAATCCATCATACGTCTCTGTGTAAACTGGTTATGAGTTTTTTTATGAAGACAGCAACAAAACCAAATCATTGTTCTGAACTGTTGTCTGGAAACAGGCTCCATGGCCGCAGCTTCACATAGCATCATAATCAGATCCTGTCAACAGTGCATGCACAAAAAAGTTGTCTCTCAGCTGGCAACACAAACTCTTGGTCCTTGTTCATCCCTCAGGGGCTCTGAACAGAATGTAGATTACAGTCTCACTTTTTTCATGCACAAGCTTTTCAATGCACAGGCTACAGGGGAGTTCTTGCAAGGTCAGATCATCACAGACCTTCGTAAAACAACAGACCCCTCCAGATTTTTTTCCTTTTTTTTTTTTTTTTTTTTTTTTTTTTTTGCAAACAGTCAGGGCAACAGGGGCTAGAAGGTTAAAACTAAGGACCCTAATCAGGAGGAGGACTCATTAATGTTATGTGCATGGTGGAAGGTACATGATCAGGTTTGGGGAGCAACAAGTCCTGGTCCATTTGGTTTCACTGACTTTTACACAGAGAGCCCATGACCTTCACAAGAGGTGTATATGCACTCCTTAGGAGACCAGCTCTCCCAAATGGCAGTTTTCCCTGTAACAATGGCAGAACACAACATACACAGTTGTGTCTTGATTGCACAATAGTGCATACCTCTCATCAAGTCAGAAAAAAACAGTAATGTGTGATGACCAACTGTTTCAACAAGGATACAAATATCCTTAGATTCACTGCGTAAGTTTGCCACATTGAAAAGGTAGAGAAAAAGGCAGGGTAGCTATATCTGGATTAGTCAAATTAAAAGCTAAAGCCCCTTAAGCCAGGTTTGCAAAGGCCTATACCCATCATGATCTTAAATGCAGGCAGATGAGATTCTTCAGGAAGACTATGTCTTATTCTGTTTTACTCCCTCAAACTCTTCCTTGAGGGATCCCACATTTCAGTTTGTTCACCCACAAAATTTGATTGCAAACTTTCTTGGACATGCCTGAATTCTCTTTTCTGAAGCACCTTTGGGGTTTATTGTAACAATTTAGGCTGAAAACAATTTAATTAGGTGGATACCAGATGGCTCTGTGGCATCATAACTTGAGTGGCAAATGAAATTACACCACGGGAAACTCAGATGAGGAGGATGTTGAATCCACTTCTTGCACTCTATGTGAAGAACATTCCAGGCCCTCAGAGAGTTTCTGGCTCATTAGCAAAAGGACTCCCAAACCACTAACCAAGTTTTTCTGTAAGTGATGTAGAATCATTCAGAGAAAGACAAGTTAGTGCCTCAAGCACTGACTGATCTCACTTATCTCATTCTAAATGCTCCCCAAAAGGGCTGGCACTTCCACTGCATATGAATTATCTGCCAGGTGAAAGACAGATTTTCTTTCTACCACTCCAAGTAGAGCACAGTGCATTCTGACAAGTTACATTGATGATAAGGATAATATTTCATCCTGGTCAGAGGGCCAACACAGCACCTATGCATTTATTTGGTGATTTACACAAGACTTCAGTGGTGTATACCCTTGAAATATTGCTTTGTAAAATTAAGTCAGTCTCAGTGAACATAGCTGCACAGAATTTCTAAATTACATCCTATCCTCTTCTGTTCTTCTTTTCTTTTCCTCCTCCCACTCTTTTTATTTGATGCAACCACTATGCTAAGTGATGAGAACTACATTTGATCACATCCTGAGTAACAGAAGTGGGCACAGTATAGTACAGAGATGGAGCTAAGGGCACAGCCTGCTGCTGTACTGCTGCAGCCATATGTCTCACCGGTGTCTGGATGGATGTTAGCCTGGCCACACAGAGCACAACAGGAGCCTGTCTGGTTTACCACAGATAAAGTTCAATTGTTTTGCGCAAAGCCAGAGACGTTTTACTGATCACTCAAATGCATATTTCAAAAATGAGACCGAGCTTCAGGTGGTTCCTAGGGTTCAAAACAGAGCTAAAGGGAATTGGAAAAGAAGTGAAAATAAAGCAGTTTAAAAAAACCCAAGCCCTTCCCCTGAAGTCAGGAGTTTTTAAATTTCAGCTCTTAGGCCTAATCTACTTTCCTGCTTGGATACATCTTTGTAAGATATAATACTCCTTATCTCTTTCTTAGCAGTTTCAGAGGCAAATGGATCTCCCCAGTAGGATAAGTACAAGTTAAGTGCTGTTCAACATGATTAAGGAAGGAAGAATTGCAAAACAATATCAAATCGTTCTTTTCCCCAGCGTCTCATAGCAACAGAAACACTGAGATTTACTCTTCAATTTTCAAGCAGAGCAGTAATAGATACTTACACTTGAAACAGAGAGATCAGTCCCATTTCTGCAGCCATTAATTGGTTTTAAGCTCTCCATGGCTCAGATAATCCTTCTGAACCATTTGTTTTCTCCCCTTTAAATGACCACCAGACTCATGCTATTTAGATTTATTTGCTATGATGGTCCTTTCTAGTGCTTGCTAACTTTTGGTTTGTTTTTTAAAATCTGGGTATGCTTGCACTCATAAGCTCGCTAAACTTGAGAAAAGATACTGTTCTCTTGGTGTTATTAGCAGGTCAGAAGTAAAAGTTTTAAAACCCCATTTAAAATTCACATTTAGCTGCTAATTTCTAATGTCCTAGGCCCTTTTGCTTGCATGCGAAAGAATAAAATTGTAGGGTGACATTAAGAAACAACCATGAAATAAAAGTGTGTTTTGCTCCATTAGTCACAGGCTGTGCACCAGCCAGCTGTCTGTGCTAAAAATATGCCACAGTTAAAGATTTCGTAAATTAAATGCACTGCAGCAGACAGCTTCTCTCAGGTGGGAACACGCCTCCCTCCCATTTCCAGTAACTACATAATGAGGCTCAAAATAAGAGAGCTTTAACCCAGAAGATTGATCCCTGCTTTTACCCACGTAGTTTGTTCCTATGTTACAGTACTGCCTCCCATCCACTTCTGTGAGCAGATCATAAGTGCTTGTACAATGTCTAACAGGCCAAAGTCATGAGCCACATAAACAAGCGTACGTCTGCTGTCTGCAGCCAAGATAGACCCACTCATGTAAATGAGAGACCTGGTCCATTACATGTGAGTGCTTCCTGTATACTGATGGACATATCAAAGCTACACTCCAAGGTGGTAAGAGGGAATGAAGAAAGGACTGTGCATTTCCTGTCAGTTCCTCTTATTCAACGCTTAGGACAAAAAACAAAGGATGACTACATATCTAGTGCACTGTTAAGATTCAATCCGCTAAATATTTTTAAAGAAGTCAGCTGACAATAATTTAAAAAGATGAATATGTGTGCACTATTTTTGTTTAGGTAACACAATACAACCAGGAAAAGTAACGAATTAATAATACCAGTATACATTATCTTAGATTCCCACTGAAATCACTGATGCAATTGTTTCAGTGAAGTTCCAAATTAAGTTCCTCCTTCTCAGTTGCAAATATGAATACATATATATTTAAGAAGAAAGGAAAGTAAAAAGGAAAATTTCAATCCCTGCTCAGTGATAAACATTTTCTGTGGGGAATTTCAAACTACTCCCTCAGTTCACTTCCCTGTGATCACAATAACACAACATACTAAACCCAAAATAGCAATAACTAGGAATTATTACTACTTCTTTTTTTATTATTATGTCTTTAACTGAAAAAGTAGGCAGATGAAATGCAGACAAAAACCACTCACATACATGGGGAAATTTCCAAGTGCTGCAGAGAGCCCTTTTTGTTCTGTAACTTGTATGGTCCCCAGGAAACAAAATGGGGAGATGCAATCGTAGGCATCGTATTAATACAAATTATACAGTAAGGTAAGAAAAAGAAAACAGGAATATAATCCTTACATATCGAGATGGCTCTTCCTTGTTTTGGTCATTCATGTCAGTGGGAATGATCCGTGTGGCCATTGGTCCCTTGGCAAACGGTTTTGGTAACTGGCCCCTGAATTCTGACAGGATGAACTGGAGCTGCCAACTGCAAAGAACAGTGTCAGAAAGCCCAGCAGGAAAATGCAGGAGCTAGTAACATTTTGTGTGGAGAAAACCAAAAGCATAACCAAGGACTTTTAATTCCTCAGGGTAAACAGCCCTGCTAGAAGAGCAGTCACACTACAGATTTTCAGTAGCTTGTGGCCAACAATCTGCTGACAACTAACTTCAGAATCCTTTGGTTTGGTTACGCTGGTGTCAACTGAGATACAAGGTCTTGAAGGTTACTTCCATAAATACTTCTTAGAAGTAGTACCCCTCCTTCTGAATTTCACCAAATTACACCTTTTATATAAAACAACTTACTTATCTGGCAGGAGAAAACTGCTTGGAAATCTGTGCCACTCCTTTCCCACGCAGACATTAACCGGTCTGCCCTCTGGCACAGTGTGAATACTTGGGTCAGTAGCAATCCTGTGAAATTCTGGGTACAGGTCCAGGGGCCCATGGTAGCCTATGGAAGGCAGAAAGTTGTAAATAAGGCTAAAGAAATACATGATATTTACATGACTGCTTTTGAAAGACTACAAAAAAATTGTTCATACATAACTTTTTAACTGATAACTTCTTAAATGAATGAATTGGTCTATGCTAAAAAAAAAAATGGCTGGATTCCAAAGCTCTCCCTCCTCTTAGAAGTGCTTGTACCCTACCACCTTTATTCACATTCTCCTGTCCTCACTGTCAATGGCTACCATCAAGCAAAAAAATATTGATGAAGTGGGAAGGTTCACTGCATGGATTTGATTCAAGAAAGTACTTAAGGACCATATCTAATCCATCTCCATTAAGGACACATGTACCTAATTACAAGTTTTACATAGGAAAATACTTTTTCAAGCGGGTTCATATGTCTGAAAGTTAAAGTATCTGCTTTAATACAAGTCTGAGTACAGGTTTTATATCAGTATAGTTGTACTGGCTGAAGGTGAAGGGCAGCAGATTTTTAACTGATATAATTCTAGTGATACATATACATACATACACACCCACATGTATCATCATTCATTGGCACAATACCAACCTCTGAATAAGGCAACAGAGCGTGACAATGACAAAAGGCCAAAGAGAAAGACAGTCCCCAGAGCCAGCCAGTTGGAGGAGACTGTGTAGTGTTCCAGGCGGTAGCGCTGGAATATGAAGTGGTAACATTTCTGAGGAAAGATTTAAAACAAAGGCAATATAAAATTACTCGAACTCCAATATGTTTAGCAAAATTCTGTTTTTCATAAGGACCTTACAGCAGTGCCTGTATCTCCCACCAGATCTTTGGTCCTCATTTTTTCATTCAGACACGTAAAAAATGCACAGAAAGTCACATGGTTCAGTCACATTTCATAACTGATAGTCTAGGATATTTAAAGATATTTTCAGTTCTTTTCCCTAGGAAAGTCTCCAGTCAAGCTGTAAAGTGCTTTCTACCCATGCTCCAGCTTGGTTGCTCCCAGAGGAACCAGCAGCAAGTGCCCCTTTCAGACACTCCTGTAGAACTTCCCTACACAAACAGACCTAATTTTCAATGCTGGACTGACTTCCTCTCTAACAGAAGTTCCATGACCCAGATTTACTGAGTGACCTACGGTTGTTTATCCTGTCTGCACAAGCTACAGCTTTGAAGTGGATAAAAGAGCAGACACTGCATTCTGCATCCACTTTTAAACACAAACCACTCTGAAATTGTTAAAAGCAAAGCCCTTCAGGTTTTTCTAATTTAAAAGCCTTTCTGGGAATACCCAGGAGGAACCACATCCAATATTTGGCTCAGTCCCTCTCTTCTGCTCTGCCTTTCTGCAGGAGTGATTATTCACTTCCTATCCTAATCTGGTTTCTGTTCCTCTTGTCTTGTTTGCATCTTTCTCATAACAGTCAGATCCATGTGGTTTGGAGGAGTAGACTCTGACAGGCTTGTACTACTAGTGGGCAATCTGATCTAAATTCTTAGCTGGATACTGGACAAAATGTCATCCAACAGTGTTAAAATATGCAGGACAGAAATATGCACTAGATTTTCCTAAAGCCATATTTGGCAAAGGTCCTAAACCATTACCCTCTGATGAATGTTCTGACAGCACACAGCAATTCTCAGTCAGAGCCATAAAACTGCTGACATTACAGAGCTTGATCCTGTATGAATGCAAGGACCGAAACTCTTCTGGGGTGCTCCAGCTTAGCACTGCAAAGCATCAGCAGCGATGGGAGATCAACAGTCAGAATAGCAACTGACCAGGGGAAGAGTGAGAGTGATTTGAGGGGTTCGGGCCATGCTGGTGGGGAGCCCAGGACAGGAACAGCCAGCAGCAGTGCATAGCAGGACAAAGGAGCTAATAGCGGAATGAGACTGAACAACAGGAACAGGCTCTAACAGGGACTAGTGACGGCATTCCTGTGCCTCTTTAACAGAGGAAAGATTAATAATTTTGAGCTTTGGGAAGGTTTATATCAATCTATGTTAGTGCTTTACTCTATGAGGTGTTTCAAGTGATAGTTACTATACATCAAATTTTTGGCGCTTCCCAATGTCCAATGCCATTTCCTAACACTTAAACAAGATGACTTTTCCCTTTTCAAATTAGTGAAGGATTCCTGCTAGGATACAACAAAACGCATTTCCTACACAGACACATTCCAGCCCCTTAAAGCTTCCTTAAAAGCAGTCAAAGGATGCACAATGCTACAAGTTACTAATCCTTATGACATCTCTTGGATGTTGTGTTGCATTGGCACAACAACATCACAACTGCTCCTCACCAGAAATTTCCACTCGGGATGGGAGAATGACTCAAAGACATCATGAAATAATTAGTGGCAAGGAAATATTCTCAACCATTTATTACTTCACACAATCCCAGACAAGCTCCTAATGTGATCACCTTATAAAGCCATGAAATTTAATCTTTTTTTGCTAGGCTGTTAAGCATTCTGCACTGAAGTCCAGGATTATTAGATGAGCTCATTCTGTGTGACACTCAAGAGGGAAATCCCAAATATTTTTGCTTTTACATCACATCTTACAGAGGGATAATCATCTCAATCAACCTGTACAGGAAGATAATGGTTAAAATTGCAAAATCAGCAACACACACACACACACACTTCATTATTAGAACAGCGGTGCATTTTGGTTCCATATCCACAAAACATTGTTCAAAAATGAAAACTGTACCAGCTAACAGATTAAAGATGATGATCAGAAGCTATGCACAGGACAGCCCTGAACTGTGTCATCACTGTAGACTGTCACAGACAGAGATATTCTGCACAAGTTCCCAAACTTTGGGAAGCAATGTTAAACAAGTCAGCTAGCAGTTATGCTTCCTAAAGGTATGAACTCATTAAAAACATGTTCCACTAAAACTTACCTGAAGAGCAGACAGAGCCACAGCACCGCAGAGACAGATGAGGGGATAGATGGGAAAGAGAAACCTCTCTTCTTTGTGGGGCTGACTGAAGAAAATCATGATCCAAATGTACATAGGAGCTAGTGTCAGCCAGTAGGGACGGCCCAGATTCTGAACTGAAAGAAACAAAACTCTCAGTAAGGTAATCGTGTAAGAATGAGGGGGTTATCCTATTCCTCCTCTTGTACAATCATCTCACATTCAAAAGCCCATTATTCAGATCCAAACCATTGCCTTCAGACACAAACACACCATGTTCTGAGCCAGCCACGTTGCTAAAATCCAGGTAACATGTCCAAACAGTCAGTGTAGTATTTTGATCAGAGAATTTTTGTAGAATCCTGCAATACTAGAAATTTCAACAGACTTTAGAAGACAGAAAGCAGAAAATAAGGGACTGCATTACTGAATCCAGGCAAGAGACAAAATCCATCAAGAATTGACATATCTAAGCAGACAGTCAGAAGTACTAGATTTCCTGATGCATATTATGCTACACATACAAAGATCCGAAAGGATCTCCTCTGGACCTACTCTTCCACTTGCTAATAGTTGTTTAGCGACTGAAGTTTCCAAAACCTTTATCGCGTCATTACAAAAATAACAGCATGAGAGGTCTCTCAGGCACCTTCTGCTTAACAGAGGAAATAACTGACTCAAAAATAACAACAATTACCCTGAATTTCAGGCACACTGAGGAGGGTTCTATACTGCCTGACAATTTTCAGTCCCTTTTCTGTCCCCTTGCTACTCCCAACAGCAGAGTTAAACAATTAAGCTAGCGGCATTTCACAGACAATAAGAACAAAGCACTTGGCAAAATTGCTCCTGCTGTTAAGTACAAGAACACCAAGTGAACAGCAGGAAATCTTGCATTTACAAGATCTCCTGCTGAGCTTTTACTGGTTTCTAACAGTATGTCAATCATATCCAAGGAACAGATATAAGCAAATACCCGTTAACATACATTTTCAGCAAAGAGTACGATGTTATTGTTTGTCATATTCAGCAAAAAAATCAGAGTGAAGCGCTAACTGGACTGATGAATCTGGAGGCTGCTGTTGACGCTTAATGAATCTTCCTTAGCAAAATGGCAGAGAAGAATTCACACTTCCTCAACACTTTTTTCCTCTCTAGAGTCACTTGACAAATGTTATGTGTTTAAACTGATGTCATTTTACTTAAGAGAAAGCCCAACATGAAGTAGGGAATATTCTGCTTCCTCCTTTCTCTACTCTCAGTATATCCACACCTATAGGAGCAGTTCCCAAAGCATGGAGTAGCAAAACTGTCCTGACAGGTCTCCACCCTGCAAGTTGAAGAGTGCCTTTCCACAGCGCACAGAAGAGTCGAAGTTTGATCCCAACAGAGGCTGCAGTAGCAGAGACCAGAAGATGCCTATTTGTAGGCTCAGCCCCAACAGTCAAAAAGGAAATAATAACTCAGTTCTCTCAAGCTAATGCAGAAAACATTCTGGCAGTGGAATAAAAAAGTAACAATGGCAGAGCCAGCAAAAGGTTCCCCAAAGAACTCTAAAGGCTACCATTTCCAGCTGCAAACAAGATCAAACAACAATGGGTACATAGTTTCTATCCCCCTTAAGATTTCTGATGGGGCTACTTCTAATGCATTTGCATGGCTGGCTGAAGGTTATGTACCATACAACTTGTTAAGCTTACTCTGGGTATGGATAGTTCAGCCTCGATAACACATCACTCTTCTTGAGGTGGAGGCAGGGAACACGAAAATCATCCTTAAAGAGAAAAACATGCTTCTGCCATTTTGAAGACAGCAGATAAGTAGATGCATCTCACTGCATGTTCTTACCACACAGCAACTCCACTGTGGGGTCAATACTTGTATGAGTAATGAGCTCTAGGAACTTTCTTATTACTCCGAAGACTTTTCCTGAACCTCATTTCACTTCCAGTAAAGGAAAGCTGCTCTTTGGATGGCAAACTCTCCCTTTAGTAACAAGGCTGAGATCTGGGCTGCCTGTGCTTGGCTCTCACAGCCATCTTGGACTCACCATGAAATTTCTGAAGCAGACACTCCATGAGACCAGTCAGCGGCAGCACAAGCAGTGCCAGAATAAATGCCACATTGAAATTCAGAAAGCCATTGATGAAATAAAAGGACCAGGGCTCTGTACCTAAAGGATGAGAAAAGGAAACAAGAGTTTTTAAATACAAGCATGTACAAGACCTAGATTTAACAGTAGTCTTGTTTCTCCTCTGCCTGACACAGAATAAAATAATCAGCAGCAGACATCCATTCCCTGCATTGCAAACATACTGAAACCAAAGAATGGAAAGGGTGTGGACAGAAGGTCTTGCAACTGGACAGATGATGCAGGCCCATCGAATGAGCCCTCACCCATAAAGCTGACATAATAGTGGCGTAAGAGTTAGTCAATAGCCATACAAAGGCACCAGAGTATCTCACAATCATGTCTGCCCAAGAAACTTCATTGTCTTCCTTTTCAGAAATTATTTTTCTGAAATTCTTCTCCTTTTTTCACTGGGTCATAGTCAATACCACATGGGCTGCTCATGAATCACAGGCCACTAACAGTCAGCCTTGCCCAGCAGAGTTCTGTGACACAGAACTCACCCTTGCATTAAGAAAGCCTACACAGCAAGAGAGGCATTAACTTGTAAAACTAGGAAATTTTACTCCAAATTAATTCTTTCTAATTGCAGAGAAGTAACAGAGGAATAACACAAAAACACACAATGTGAATAAGAAAACATTATCATTCTGGAGTGATGATGTTGGCAGAAATAGAAAATTTACTAAAAAGGAACAAGGAAAAGAGTTCACATTCACACTTCACCCCAACAAAGACTGCCACTAAACTTCATCCAGATGCTAGTTTTGGTACCTCCTTAGAGTCAACATTATTTAAAATGTCCCTACTTCAATTTGTTCTTACAGTGTAGCTTCAGACAGGAGCAAGCCAACTCTGCCTCCTAACATGATATACTTGGGTATTGGTTACAAGCTTTAAAGGCTGCAAATTGAAAGAAATCCCAGTCCAACTGTCATTTATTTGGACTCTTAATTCAGGATGCTTCAAGTCCTGAACAATAAGGAATGCCAGTTCCTCTCCATACATTTACCACTTTCTCAGTGTGATTAGCTCAATCAGTCAGTAAATGACATGCGGGGGCTTTAATCACTGCACTGTTGTGACATGTGTCACATGCCGCAGCAATTTCCTGCAATCAGAGCCACTTAAATAGGGTCCATGTTGAAATTAATCAGACAACTGAAAAGCAGCAAGGAAAACCCAAAACCTCTGCAGCTCCTATAGCTAAATATGATTGGAAGCTGCACTAGTAATGTCAGAAACATGTCACTGGAGTTACTAAGGCCAAGTCCAAGCAACCAAGGTTCATTTAGGAAACCTTTAGCTATTAACACTGAAAGCAAACAGCAATTACAGATTTGGATTTTGGGGAGTAGGGGGCAGTACGGGAGTGAATTATTAGAAATTCACCTTCTCTCTCCCTCCACCTACCTCATGATTCTTGCAAGCCCCATATGAGCACAATCCTCAGCCTGTGAAAGGCTGAATATGTGATACGGTAGATGGAAAGATCATGTCAAGCGATGGACATGACAGTTATCTGTATGGCAACACTGCAGTATTGCCAACAGCCCTTCCTCCTTCTCCAGACTCTCTTGGTGACTCTCCATATTTAATGACTGCAATTCTAAGTAATCAACATGACAGATCTTGAACACGTGCAGAAAGCAGATCGTTTTAGAACTGAAGCATACTACCCTTCCCAGAATTCAGGGCTGCCGACTGGGATATGTCTGTAAGAGAAAACGTGAGGCAGTCTGAAGTATTACACTGTAAATCTCCAAATGGACATCTAGAAAAATTGTGTGTAAAGGGGGCTTTGGTTTCTTCCCAACCCTGCTGCCTCCACAGATTATCTTCTGAGGTAATAGTACAGGTTTCTAAAGGCTTACAGCAAGGGTAACACTGGTTAGGCCTTTCTAGTAACTACTTACATGGAGCACTAAGGCCATTCCTTCTATAAAAAAGAACTGGAACTGGGTTCCATAGCCTGTTCCTCACTCCTACTGCTATAAACAACAGCCTCGTTATCATAGAAGATGCCAGGATGAGGTAGAAAGCTTCTTGAACTGATATAAACTGTTACCCTGCAGTGTCTTCTGGCTACAATTACGCTGCACAGCACAGCCAAGTTCCAAATCTTTAAAGAATAGTCCCAGAAACCACGCTGTCGCCCTTCTACCTGCCCTGGCTGCTATGGAAAGTAAAGGAAATTAACTGTGGTTCTCTCTAGTCTGGTCTCTTCATTTGGTAGCATGGGACTCAGGAATGAAGGACACTTCATGAAGCGTACCTCTACCACAATCCAGATACAGCCTTAAAGGCCCAGAGGTGTCCTGAGGGACTCTGATAATAAAGAGATCAGCTGGTCTGAAGCACAGCTTTAACAAAAAGGTTATGTTCTCAGATTTTTTTGCAGTGTGAAATTGAATTGCCCTCAAGAACAAAGTACTGGAACCTCCCCTCCTTCTCTAATGAAGGATTTTCTTCTCTGGGCAAGGAAAAAAAGAAAAAAAAAATGAGAGAGGAGAACAGTGAACTGCACAAGCAAGCTAAATAATTCACAGACACCAGGCAAAAAGCAATAGGCTTGGTTGTGCAGCTACTCTTTGTCTCTCTTTTCCCACACTTGGTCACTGTGATGACTCATCCATTCAGTGGCATTAGGTCTCAATGCCTCCCAGGGCAAAATGCTTTTATTTTTGTTATCCACAAGAACTCAAGGTGATCTGAGAAAGAACTGCAATGTAAAAAAAGAACAACCCCACCACATACAAGAAATCCTGGCCCAGAACAACCTCTTTCAAGCAGGGACACTAAAGAACTCTCCATGCATGGTATTGATGGGAACATACTTCCACAGCATTGCCTTCGGACCATGACAGAAGATTTAACTTCCTGCAAGCATCCCACATGCTGAGCAGATGTGGGCTGTAGGAGACAGACTGATGAAAGCAGTGGGAAGAACACTGTGGCCCAATCAGTTCGTGGCACTATGGCTCCATGGGGATAACCAACTGGAAGCACTGTCAGACACTGAGCCAGAAACTGGTTTGAACTTTGTGCTCTGTGACAGGCTCTGGGAGCAATTCTAGAAATCAAGCTCACACACATGTTAATAGAACTTAACAACCTACCATGCTGCAGCCTGACCACAGAAATGGTGAGGGCAGCTCAGGACAAAGCAGAGAAGTTGTAAAAGAGGCTTAAACCAAGATGCCCCACCCTGTGTTTGTCACAGGCTACAAGCCTGCCTGCAGACAAGAACTGTAGCTCAGCTGTTAGGCAGTACCTGAGACACAATAATTTGATTGTGAGTCACAGCCCTCATTCTAAGCAAGTCTGATTCAGTGCTAGTATAATAAACAGTCTGCTTTCTGCATTTCATTTATTTTTACTCTATTTAAGAACCAGGACTCAACAAAGCAAGGTGTCATAAAAACAGCTCCAGCACATTCCACCTAAGCTGAACAAAGCTTCCCAAAGTGCCATCACACTGTAAGTCACAGCTAAGGCTCTGATCACAGGAATTGGGACAAAACTTTTGTCATGAACTGTGCATTCTTAGAACATACGTACACAAAAACATCCCAAAGCCTCAGAATCAAGCCTAGGGATATACATTTAGAAACTACTTCCCCGTAGTTGTGGAAACCTAATATCCCCAGGGAAATACTCATTGCATAGACTGTATTTATGAAGAATGAATGTACTGCTAAAGACCAAAAAAAAAAAAAAAAAAAGAACAAACCAAAACCCACCAAACAAAATAATCAAACATTTTCTCCAGAACTCCAGTCTGCAGACAAAAGGAAAAATACTGTGGTGCTTATATTGAGGATGGTATGGGTTGATGACTCTGCAACCTTCAGCAGCTCCTGCTCCCATCATGTGAAAGTTGGGAAATCCCAGCTCCAATGCCAAAAGGGATTGGCCAGCCTTTCATCTCCCTTGGTAGCGTTATTTTTCCAAGTGTTTTGAAGCTCTCTAAACACACAGCATTATCCTGGCCTCATTGCATTAAAGAGAAATTTCAAGCAGGCTCATTTACTAGCCTGAGGATGTTATATGAATGTCACTATGAATAAAACACTTCAGAATAGATTGCTCCCTGGAGGCTTCTGGAAACAACTCATGCACCAGTGTGGAAAAGGTCAGGCACAAGCCCATGCCAAAACCTATCAGAGACAGAGCCTGGAGTTTACTTACAGCAAATTCATAGCAACAGACTTCAGAGCTTTCCTGCAGAGATGAAGAACCAGGGCAAAGCAGCTGCTGCCCTGCTGTGCCACAGCACAAGTAACAAATCACCACTCAGCACCATGCAAAACAGTGCCTCAAATGAAGCAACAAATATGGCCTGCAGGGCACTGCCATAGAAAGCCTTGCTGCTGAGCACTAGTGAATCCCTCCTAGAATATCTCGACAGGGCTTAAACAGATGACAGAGATGACGCAGGGACCCTGTACCCTAAACTCCCTGAAGTTTCTGCCAGTCCCTCTGAAGCCCTGCTAGAAATACAATATTTCTCTGCTCTTTGGCTCTCGAGGTACATATGAACAATCTAGTGCAGTGGCAGCTCCCAAATAAACAATACAGCATTGCTGTCAAGGTTCACCAAGGTGAGATTTGGGTCACACAATACCCTAAATGGCCAGTACCAGAGGACTGCTAGCAAGCAAATGATTTGCCTGCAGATTAGATGTCATAATGGTAACCTCAGATTCTGCTTGCCAGCATAGTGCAAGCCATACATTGCCAATAATCACGGAGATTCCCAAGGCACAGCATGGACTCAGGAAATCTGCAGGGACCCGTTTCTGCACTCTTGCCCACATTCCCAAGGTTCTGCACCCGGACTGTGAGGAACAACAGCCAAGAACTCAATTAAAGCTGAAAAACACACACATGTATCACTCGTGCCCACTGCACTCGTGCAGTATCCAGACACGTTTGCTACTAACAATTCTCGGCTGTGACACTGAGACATCTCACAACGGTTTACAGAACTTGAAAGTGAACAAAAGCAGCTTAACTCACAGAGAAATCAAACAATGGCCTGCAGATTCTCAGCTCGAGAGAGACATCCTGTGTCAAACAGCTGGAACTACAGCTCTTTCGAGCTTGCAGACTGCTTTGTCAGAAAAAGGACTGGCAATGAAGACCTGGTGGGTCATGGTAGCAAGACAGTAGCAAGAAAACTGCCAACTCCTTTCCTGTCTTGTTATCTTAAACTCACCATATAGATCAGGTCCGTGAGAGGTGAAGACATTGTATAAGACAATGTTGAGAGGTGCAACTACCAGCTTCCCATAGTAATAGCTGTCCACAACTACCAAGGGCACCTGGAAGAAAGCATCTATTTTTTAAAGTGACACAAGATTTTGGCTGGACTGCCCAAAAGCTCCATGTGAATGGAACCCACCCCTTCTATTGCAAGCCCAATCTATTCCCCCGTTGCACTGTTACAGGCACTTACCAAAAACAGGATCAATGACACCACACACCAGTTTAGGAAACTTTTCCACCTCTGCTTCAGTATCAACAAATCAAAAGCAATAGGAAGCCTGAAAGAGAGACAAGGTATCAACTGGAGACTTTGTCCCTCCCCACTACAGGTTTTCCTGACCCTTCGAGGCAAGCAAAGCAGTAGCTGGAAGAGACCCATCACATCACTGGGCTCTGCTTCTACTCCATATTGTAGGCATCCAACTCAGGTTTTACTCTCAGTACATTAGGGTCAGGAAATCTTCCCAACCTAAGTTCTTCAAAAGCAAAGAAATCAGGCTATGAAAGCCTGTGGCAACGCTCCTGGACTAGGTTGGCAGCTCAGTACCTGCTAGTTTCTTCCTCCAGCTCTCCAGCCCCTACATTATCCCCAACCAGGCAAGAAACAATTGACAAAGTGCAAAACTCCTGAGCCCTCCTCTCCTTACCCAAGAGCTGCACTGAAGGGCCAGCCCAGAAGGGCTCCAGCAGCCACTCCCAGGACTGCTACAGAGGTCTTGTCCATATACCAGCCAGTCATAGCAATCACTGTGGTGTACATGCAGAAACTGCTTGGGAGAAAAGCTGCAATGCAAGAAAAGCAAGGGGTTAGCACAGCTTTCCCACAGCGGGAGAACTGCACGAGGCCGAGATAAGGCTAATCTCATTCGTTGCACTGGAGCTCGGATGCTATACTAGATACTGTCATTTCAGTGAAAGCAAAAGAAAAGAGGATTCTTCTTCTTCCAAGACCAAAAATACTTCCCTTAAGTATGAAGGCCTCTTTCCTCAGTGGCACTTAGCAGTGTTAACCGGCTGACAGCATCCATGGATACCACCTGTAACACTTACTGTACCCCCTATATTCTGCTAGGTCTAAGAAAAGGAAACAAACCTACTCAAGTGGCAGCAGAAAATGTGAGCTGATTGGGTACAGCCTCTGAAAAAACTGGGCAGAGACTGGTGAGTAGTAAGCAAAGAATGAGGAGACCTATGACACTGCAAAAACAATGAAGGAAAAGTCCTTTCTTCACTGACCATGAACAAGAAAAAGGGTAAAATAGGAAATCTCAGCATTTGTAAGTTGTTGCATTTCCCTTGAAGTTTCTGTATGCACACAAGTACAGAAAACCTTTGCTCAATGTCTCTCTTTGCACCTTCCTCAATACCTACAGCAGGTGTTTTGTAAGTCTTACAGTGGTTGGCTAGGCAAATGGGTACAACCAGCCAGAGAGGACAAGACACAAAGGCACATGACAATGTCAAAATATGACCCTGCTTCCTTGGATTACAGTATGTTCAAGGAAGGTAGGCCAAGACCCTGTTTAAAAAACATGGCCCATTGCAGAGAGACTGGAGGCAGCAATAGGAACAAACATGCCCTGGAAATGGAAAGATACAAGAGAGCGATGCAGGGAACATGATTTGAATTGACATTTATTCTGTCATCACACATGCCATGAGGAATACCAGCAGCTGAATACAACAAACGATTGCTGAAGAGATACGTTAGTGCTGTGGATTTTCTTACCTCTGTACCTGTCTTTGGTTTCTATGGACAAAGTCATTGTTAGTGTCATTGCTAAGCAAACTTACCTGCAGATGAGCAAAACATCCCAGTGCTGAGTACTAAGAAGGCCAACATCAGACGACTCACATGTAGCCCAAACTTCTTACACACAGCTCTAAGGAAGCAAGAGAAAATTAGACACCACAAAAATATCCTTAGTACATAAAAGAACAGTACCCAATGAATGCAGAACCACAAACAACCCATGGAGCATCCTAAGAGCTTTAAGGTGGGTGATTCTCATTACTCAGCCACTGAAGGAAACCTGAAGGGCTGTATGAGTGGTTCTGGCCTGGGTTTTCACATGCCTGTAAATTACACTACCACAAAAGCCTAGAAGAGACTTGGCTTCTACCAGTGTCAGTTGTGCTCAAGCAAACCTCAGGAACTTAGGGAGTCCACACTGTTGTAGCAACATGAATCAACAAGATGTTCACCCTTCACACAACCCCATCGTGCAAAAAGCCACAACTCACGTTCTTAAAACCAGGCTATTGCCAACAGAAAAGGCATACAAGGTAATAGTCTGAAAGCCACAAATGCAGAGGCAGCAGGTAAAAACAGAAATCCAGCTTAGACAAGATAACTGTATGTCTAGGCTACTGCTTTTAGTGTATCTAAGCACCACTTGCAGATACATTACAGACAGCAACAATCAATATATTCCACTAAAATTCACTATGATAAGCAAACACAGCACCAGTCTCTCCTCCAGCAGAGCTCAGTTTACAACCCTCCCACCCTGCTTGCTGGTATCAGTGAGAAAATGAATGTAGTCAACAAAATGCTGGAGTGGAGATGTGGGTGGCAGACCTGAGAATACAATTTTGTCCTAACAGTGGAATTTTGATCAATATTTCATTGAGTTATCATGATAACACATATTTTCAAGGTTCACTGTGAAGCAGCCCAATTTACCAGACACATCTCCACATGAGCTTCAGAGTGTATTTCCTGTGGCAATAACAGAGTATGTTACTCACATTGCTCCAATATTTTCACTGTAGACAGTTTCTAACACTCACTTGTAGAAATAGAGTTCACAAATGCAGCTCAGGAAGGCCAGGAAGCATCGGAGGAAATAGAAGATAAGGACCTAGGACACATACTCAGAGTCTGAACAAGGTTTGCAATGAAGCTTATGCACGTATTGCTAACAAGTGGGTCCCAAGAACAAAAGTTCTGAACAGAATATAGCAAGTTTGGCAGTGGTGAATGAGCCTATTGTCGCAGACCCAAATCATTCATCAAGGGATGCTGAAGATCTCAGCAGCTCAAGGCCTAGCCCTCCAACACTGAAGTCCTTTACAACACAGAAAGTGAACTTAGTCCACTGAACCTAACAGAACTACCCCCCTTCTTTTGTTTTCTGTTGCGCAGAAACATGCCCAGTATGACAATGGATACCCAGGCAGAATGCACATTCAGTGCTTTTTCTTTAACACTTCTGTGATTTCAGTTTGCAATATCCTTTGCAAAACATTTATTTGTTACAGTTTATTGGAAAAACATATTTAATATAGTTTAATTGGTTTAGTTTATTGGAACTGTATTTGTTATATTTGTTTGTTTGTTATAGTTTATTGGAAAAAACAAAGCAGTCGTTGACAGCTGGCATAGAAAATAACACGAGCTTCTAAAGCATCAGGGTGAAACTCACAGGAGTGAGTGAGGGCCCACAGCTGCCAGATAACTGTCCCCATGCCTGTACACACTCAAAAGGCCAAGGAGCCACCAGCCCCTCTGGGACAGCTTCTCAACCAAACCACAGCCTGACAACAATTCCCTGCAACTTCCCAATCACTTTTCCTTGGATCCCATGGAGTCAGCTCATAAACACGTGTGAATCCCCACAGGGAGGTTAGTGTTTGTAAACAAAGTAGTGTTTTATAAACACTAATTCTCTTACCTCTGACAACAAAAAGAGCATCTGTTTAATACAGACTAAAGGCATGCTTATTCATCACAAAAGAAGCTTTCATACATCTGACTTACCTTGTTGGTTTGTAGAACTCTAGCATGGAACAAGGCTGGTAAGGCATGAAGCCACAGGTAAGCATAGGAGCGGATGGCATAGGCTGGAGAGTATTCCCATGTCTGAAACCCCTTTCCATAAATGAGGTAGTGTGTCTACAATGAAGATTAAAGAAATAAATATGCATCACACAGATTAGATGGTTTTGCATTTCTATCTCTGAATTCTTGAGTAAAAAATTTCACTTTGAAACACAGAGATTAGCACAAAGTTCTAGATAAATCTACATTAGCACAGGCCAGCTACAGATTCCCACATATCTCCAAAGAGAGAAAGCCACTTACCGGCTCCCAATAGTTAAACGTCTCATCACAATCAGAGATGTTGCTTAAGAGAGCTGCACAGAACCTAGCTGAGATGAGACACCTGAAAGCTGTTGATCCTTCAGGGGCCCAAACTTGTCCTGCTTTGCTCCCAGATGATCTGGTCCCAAGGGAAAATACAAATATGTACCAAGAAGACTCAGTAACAAGATCAAGTCTAGCATTGTGACACTAGGCAAATAACTGACAAACATACCTGCATCCCTGTCGTTTAAGCACTATGTGAGTACAAATAAGTCTTTCGCTCACTGCTTGGAGGATGCCAGTCCCCTCCCATGGAAGCACCATCACTGCCCCTCACCACACATGAGCAACGACATTTAGTACTTAACCCACGGCTGCAAGACAGCCCCCCGCGACACGACACCCCCCTCCCCAAAACAGAGAGCAAGGCCACGCACTAGCTACTTCAGGCCCGGGTGGAGCTCCACCGAAAGGAGACCGGGGAGACCCGTTTCCACAACGGACGCCGACGCCGCTGGGCACACACCCCGCCCCCCGATGCGGGTCTCACTCGGGGCTGTGCATACGTTCGAAACGTAAAACCCCAGCAGCGAGGAAAGACCCAGGCAGGTGCTCACAACTGACACCGCCCCGCCAGCGCTGGAGCTGCTGGGCCCTGAAGGACCCGCCGCGATCCCGACCGAGTGACAGTTGCGGAGCCCGCCCCCGCCAGACAGCCGCGCACCGCCCGGCGACCACCGCAGCGCGGCCCCGGCTCGCCGCGGCCCCGCCGCCCGCTCCGGCACCTACTCCAGGCGGGCCTCCTCCGCGCCCGCGGCCTCTGACCGCGGCCGGGCCAACTCCCCGCCGCCTCCGGCCCGCGGCCTCTGCCGGGCCCCCTTGGCGGCCATGCCGAGTACGGGAAGCCGAGCGCCCGCTCCCTAGCGCCAGCGGACGAAACGAGAGCGGTCGCGAAGCCGCCGGCGCCATGCCGGGTGTGGGCACGGGCGCTCGCCCCCACGCCGCGTGCGCGGGCGGCCGCCAACGCGCTCTTCCCGAGGACAGCGCGCCCGCAGCCGGCGGCAGCGCCGATCAGGCGCCGTGCAGGGACGGCGCGGCCTGAGACACGCGGCCCAGAAGAAGATTCTCTCGCCCACCCGCGACGGCCGTTCTCCTTCACACACCTGTGCGACCGTGGCAAGGCCCCTGCCCGGGTAGCGTTGGGCAGGAAAGGAGCTAAATGAGGAACACAGAGTTGGAGAAAGCATTTTATTGAGTAATCCCCGGCCCTGAAGAGTTGGCGAAGGGGCAGTGACAGAAACTGCTTCGGGGCAGAGAGGAGGAACATGAAGGTGTTCGTCTAGGGGCTCTGGTTCAGCGGCTTCCTTCCCTGTGCAGGTGGTGGAAAAGAAGCATTCACAACAGGGGAAAACACCTCAAAACCCTTGCTCTCGTGTACTTCTCCCCTGCGATGCACACAGCATCAAAAGACACTTTGGGTGCCTGCAGAGCCCTTTCAATCCCCACAGCTGGTGCAGCAACATCAAGGTACAAAAAGTAGTTTTGAGGCAACTTTGGAAAGCAGGATCATCTTAACAAAGGATCAGAGCAGTTTCTAAAAATCTGGAGTGTGGTAAGATTTATTGGGGATCAGGGACACGCACTGATCCTACAGGGTTTGGACAATCCAGGCTGGGTCTCAGAGCAGAAAACTGCCACGTGATAATCCTGCCCTTGAGGTCACCTGGAAGGGCAGGAATGAGGAAGTCAAGCGAGTGCTTCCTTCCTGTTTGAATGCCTGGATACACTAACCGAAAAGTAGATTTAGTTTGTATACACGTACTAACGATGCAAACCTATCACAGCACTTCCGGGTGCGGGATAAGTGCCTTTAGCCAATAGATTGTAAAGCACAGAGTGCGTGACCGTGTGGCTCTGTATATCTTGGCGATATTCGGGTAAATAAAGGAGAATGACTTTCATCGCATCGGTGTGAGGTCGTCTCGGGTTTTCTCCCCATACATGGTCCCTCCAACACTGGAGAACTGAAATGAGAAAAGTACTTGCTGCTCAAGAGGCACAGAAAGCATCCATAAAGAAGCAGTCATGCTTTAGGTGACCATAGCTAATAAGACAGGGAGATCACCTTCACAGGAGCACCCTTCTCCTGCTCCTTTGTAAGCCTGCTAACACTCTTCCTCTCTTTCGCTCTTGCCTCCGAGTTTCTTCCACACGACGGATGCCTCCTCTTTCTTCTTCTCCACCACCTACTGCAAAGGCAGGACAACGTGCTCAGCACCAAAAGGGATGCTGTCCCCTGAGGGAGGTCTCCACAGCACCACCCGACCCCCGGCCGTCCTCCCACACCTACCCCCTGTACCCTAACCCCCCACCCTCCCCAGAAAAAACCTCACGGATCGGATTTTCTCACCAAATTGGTGCTCCGGTGCTCCCACGAGCGCTAACACTGCCGCCTGCGGAGTTCCAGCCGGTGCTGGAGCTGGGCTCGGAGGCGGGCACTCCGGGCAAATGGCGCTGGGCATGCAAAGCAGCGGCCAAAGAGGCTGCACCCCTGCTTACAGGGGGCTCGGGCTGCTGCGTGGACTAAAACGTGCCTGGGAAATCTGGGCACCGGCCGGGCCCTGACTTACAGGGCAGCCACGGTCCCAATGGCCCAAGGAGGATTATTTTCTCCCATTCAGGGGCACCCTGACCCACACCCCACTAACGGGGCAGTCAGCCCACCCAGGCTGCCACCGAAGCACAAAGGCTCCCAGACCTGGGGCCTGATTACAGGCAGGGGGACACCCAGGGAGACACAGAGCTCACCCTTCCCCGGCTGTAACAGGAACGAGACTCAACAGCCAGGCAGTGGAGCTTCGTGGTGAAGAACTGGGGGGCTGGGGCCCCAGCCCCGAGGACAGGGAGGGCACACGCTCAGCCCCATGCATCCTGGCCCCACGCCTCTGAAAGGCTGGGGCCAGATACCCGCCTGCTTACAGGGGGTCCCTTGAAGCGCAGGGGACACGCACAGCCCCATTTACGGGGTGGTCCCCCTCAGCACAGCACTCCCAACAAAATCCACAGAGCCCGAGGCTCCGACCTGCGCCCGAGCTACAGGCTGGCCGTCCTGGCTGCAGCACAACACCGCGTCTTTAGGACCTCGACCCCAGCTGTGGGGAGGTCACCCCAGCCAAATGCGGCACCGAGGGCAGGGGGACCGAGCCCTCGGGCACAGCGCTTCCTCAACCTGCACCCTCTAAAGGGCGAGGGAGGGCTCGCTCCTGTTGGCTGGCTAAAGCAGCCGCTCCAGCCCTGCTTACAGGGGGCTCGGGCTGCTCCTGGGGACACAGGGCTCCACGGCTCGTGACACACGCCCCCAGTAAAGGGCTGTCACGCTGGCAGCTCGCCAGCAGGACAGGCGGCCACACAGGCAGAGACCCAGGCCCGGACTACAGGCAGGTCACCTCGCCCTCGCTACGACTAAGCGGCTTCGCTCTGTCCTCTAGAAAGGAGGGGTAAGCCTGGACCCTCCCTCCGCTCGTGGGCTCAGAGGGGACCCCCTGTTACTGCACAGAACACCTCTTTCCCTCCTGGGAAGTTTAAGCTAAGCTGCAGCGACTTTAGGGGGGGCCTAAGGGACAAGCTCATTCACTCACCCACACCAACAAAGACAACGGCACACAAACAGAACTTCCCAGAAGAGGGAGCAAGCTCTGTGCAGCCAATGTCTGGGGAGCCATCCCTTCCACCGAGCAGGAGAGGAGAGCCTGAGACCTGCCCCCCGGGATGCATGGGGGCCAGAGGGGCCTCGACATGCCGAGGGGATTCCCGGGTGGCCAAGGGGCAAACGGCGTGACACGTGACACATGCCCCGGGTACAGGGCTGTCTCGCTGGCCAGGCCGCCAGCAGGCAGAAAGCCGCCGGGGCTGAGGGAACGGCCCTCCCCTGCTTACAGGGTGGGCTTGGGGTCCGCAGAGCTCCATTTCCCCCTCGGGTGTGGAGAGGGCAGCTCTCACCCTCCTTACAGGGTTGCCCCTCTCTCCGGGCTGGCAAAGCATGGAGCAGATGGCAAAAGGCCGGCAAAAGCAAAGACCCAAGCCCTGGTTACAGGGAGGTCGCCCGGTGCAAAGCCAGCCTGGCTACTAAAGGTGCTGGCAATGCTCTTGTGTGACCACAGCCCCAGTGACAGGGAGGTCCCTCTGCCCAGAGTGCCTTTCTCCTTCCACTGCTTGTATCCCGGGCTTTCTCCGCTTCTCTTGCTCGCTCTTGCTCCGCAGTGCCACAGGATGGATGACGCCTCTCTCTTCTCCACCAGCTGCTGCAGAGGCACGAGGACGCAGTGTGGACCAAAAGGGATGCTGTCCCCTGAGGGAGGTCTCCACAGCACCACCCGACCCCCGGCCGTCCTCCCACACCTACCCCCTGTACCCTAACCCCCCACCCTCCCCAGAAAAAACCTCACGGATCGGATTTTCTCACCAAATTGGTGCTCCGGTGCTCCCACGAGCGCTAACACTGCCGCCTGCGGAGTTCCAGCCGGTGCTGGAGCTGGGCTCGGAGGCGGGCACTCCGGGCAAATGGCGCTGGGCATGCAAAGCAGCGGCCAAAGAGGCTGCACCCCTGCTTACAGGGGGCTCGGGCTGCTGCGTGGACTAAAACGTGCCTGGGAAATCTGGGCACCGGCCAGGCCCTGACTTACAGGGCAGCCACGGTCCCAAAGGCCCACGGACTGCTGTTCTCCCCGATTCAGGGGCACCCTGACCCACACCCCGTTAACGGCATGGCCACCCGACACCACCTGCCAGCTAAGCACTATCGAGAGTGCTGGGCACTTTCTGCCATGGAGGCAGGGGAATGGGTAGCGGTGGCTGGTGACTTTGGCAAGGGCTTTTCCCGGGAGGTTTTGGGGACTTGGGCAGAAGAACTTACTGAGGGGGGTTCCTCATCACTTGGGAGAAGCTGCCGCATCAATGCGGAGCAGCTGGTTGGGAAGCAGCTGGCATTTAGGGCCTGTGAGTAGTGCTTGCCACCCTGAATCTGCTGCCCTGCCCTGCCGTACCCCAGTCCCCCGTCCCTCTGCTCACAGCACCAGGAGCAGCTTGGGAGAAGCAAGGGGGAGAGCAGGAAGCTGAGGGGACATGCCTGCAAGAGGGGCCCAGGTGCTGCCCTGGCTCTTTTATTGCCTGAGCTTGGCCACCTCCCCGGAAGCAGAGCTGGGGCCTCTGCTCTTTAAGCCTCCAGGCAGCGGGGCACCACACCATGAGCAAAAAGCAGCTCTGAGATGGCTGAGCCCAGGGGGGTACAGGGCGGAGGGGGGAAAAACGGCCAGGGGCCGAACAACGCTGCGGGGAGGTCCCTCCAGGGGCCAGCTCCCCTCTGCTGTCCAGGCAGAGGAACTAGCGCTTGACTGCGCCCCCCTTCCAGGCAGCAGCTCCCAGAGAAGAAACAAAAAAGAGGCATCCATCGTCTGCGGAACTGCAAGGCAAGAGCGAGCGAGAGGAGGAGCAGCAGGCTGAAAGGAGAAGGGCGCCCTGGGCAAAGGCACCTCCCTGTCACCAGAGCTGCTGCCATACAAGAGCGTCCTTGGCGCTTTTGGGATGGTTTTTAGGACTCGGGAGGAGGTACTTGGCTCAGTGCCGGTCCCTACCTTTTTAGACGCCATTCCAATTCTCTTAATGTTAAGAGGACACAACATGCCAATTTTTGCCTCGGAAAGGCTGGGGCCAGGGACACCGCTTGCTTACAGGGGGTCCCTTGAAGCGCAGGGGAGACGCACAGCCCCATTTATGGGGTGGTCCCCCTCGGCACAGCACTCCCAACAAAATCCACAGAGCCCGAGGCTCCGACCTGCGCCCGAGCTACAGGCTGGCCGTCCTGGCTGCAGCACAACACCGCGTCTTTAGGACCTCGACCCCAGCTGTGGGGAGGTCACCCCAGCCAAATGCGGCACCGAGGGCAGGGGGACCGAGCCCTCGGGCACAGCGCTTCCTCAACCTGCACCCTCTAAAGGGCGAGGGAGGGCTCGCTCCTGTTGGCTGGCTAAAGCAGCCGCTCCAGCCCTGCTTACAGGGGGCTCGGGCTGCTCCTGGGGACACAGGGCTCCACGGCTCGTGACACACGCCCCCAGTAAAGGGCTGTCACGCTGGCAGCTCGCCAGCAGGACAGGCGGCCACACAGGCAGAGACCCAGGCCCGGACTACAGGCAGGTCACCTCGCCCTCGCTACGACTAAGCGGCTTCGCTCTGTCCTCTAGAAAGGAGGGGTAAGCCTGGACCCTCCCTCCGCTCGTGGGCTCAGAGGGGACCCCCTGTTACTGCACAGAACACCTCTTTCCCTCCTGGGAAGTTTAAGCTAAGCTGCAGCGACTTTAGGGGGAGCCTAAGGGACAAGCTCATTCACTCACCCACACCAACAAAGACAACGGCACACAAACAGAACTTCCCAGAAGAGTGAGCAAGCTCTGTGCAGCCAATGTCTGAGGAGCCATCCCTTCCACCGAGCAGGAGAGGAGAGCCTGAGACCTGCCCCCCGGGATGCATGGGGGCCAGAGGGGCCTCAACATGCCGAGGGGATTCCCGGGTGGCCAAGGGGCAAACGGCGTGACACATGACACATGCCCCGGGTACAGGGCTGTCTCGCTGGCCAGGCCGCCAGCAGGCAGAAAGCCGCCGGGGCCGAGGGAACGGCCCTCCCCTGCTTACAGGGTGGGCTTGGGGTCCGCAGAGCTCCATTTCCCCCTCGGGTGTGGAGAGGGCAGCTCTCACCCTCCTTACAGGGTTGCCCCTCTCTCCGGGCAGCCAAACCATGGGGAAATATGGCAAAAGGCCAGCAAAAGCAAAGACCCAAGCCCTGGTTACAGGGAGGTCGCCCGGTGCAAAGCCAGCCCGGCTACTAAAGGTGCTGGCAATGCTCTTGTGTGACCACAGCCCCAGTGACAGGGAAGTCCCTCTGCCCAGAGCACCCTCCCCTTTCCCTCTCTTCAGCCCGCCGGTCCTCCCCTCACTCGCTCTTGCCTCGCAGCTCCACACCGTGCCGTCTTTCTTCTCCGGCAGCCGCTGCCTGGAAGGAGGGCGCAGTCAAGCACCAGCTCCTCCACCCGGAGGACAGTGAAGCCGACCCCCGGAGGGAGGTCCCCACACCGCTCCCCAACCCACAGCCATCCCTCCCCCCTCCACCCCGTACCCCCCCGGGCTCAGCCACCTTTCTCACTGCCATGGTACCCAGCGACCTGGAGGGAGACAAACCCGCAGAGACCCCAGCCCTGCTTCCCGGGTGGCGGCCCAACTCAGGGCCCTAAAATGGCTTCTCGGTGCCAGGGCTGCCCCGGCAGGGCCAAAGGCTGCCCGGGGAGGACCCAGGATCCGCTTGCAGGTACATCCCAAATGCCCAGAGAGGGCCTCTTCCCCTCAGCCTCCCGCCTTGCCCCACAAGTCTCTTTCTCCCAAGCCGCTCCTGGGGCTGAGAGCAGAGAGAAAGAAGGCTAGGGAAGGGCACGCCCAGCCCCACGCCTCTGAAAGGCTGGGGGCAGGGACTCCCGCCTGATTACAGGGGGTCCTCCCAGCACCTCCCGTTGAGCGCAGGGGATGCTCACAGCCCTGCTTACAGGGTGGTCCCCCTTGGCTCGGCAGGTTCAATAAACCCCGTGGAGCTCAAGGCTTCAACCTACTCCCGAGTTATGGGCTGGCCGTCCCGGCTGCAGCACAACACTATGTCTTCTGGAACCCCGCTTCCCCCTGCTCTCTGCATGTGGAGACGGTGGCTCTCACCCTCCTTACAGGGTTGCCCCTCTCTCCCAGCAGCCAAACCACGGGGCAACATGGCACAAGGCCAGCAAAAGCAAAGACCCAAGCCCTGGTTACAGGGAGGTCGCCCGGTGTAACGCCAGCCAGGGCTCCAAAGGCGCTGGCACTGCTCTTCTGTGACCCCAGCCCCGGTGACAGGGAGGTCCCTGTGCCCAGAGTGCCTTTCTCCTTCCGCCACTGGTCTCCCGGGCTTTCTCCGCTTCTCTCGCCTCCAAGTGCCACAGGATGGATGCCTCCTCTCTGCT